AGTTGACTTTGCTGCTGCCTGTCGTCTAGACTACGCTGCTAGCCTTGTTGCTGAGTCTAAGTCTGTCTGTCCTCCGTCCGTCGGGGGTGAGTGTGCTCTTGGCACGGACGTCCTTGAGGACAGGCATGAGGACCTTGAGTGTCTTGCAGCCGCTGCGCCTCATCTTGTGGCCATGCTGCTTGCCCCTGAGGGAGACCCGGATGCTATAGACATCCCTACCCCGCGATCTTACGCTGAGGCGATCGCGAGTCCCTACTCCTCTCAGTGGCAGGCAGCCATGGACGCAGAGATGGCATCCTGGAAGTCCACTGGCACTTACGTCGACGACGTTCCCCCTCCTGGGGCGAACATCGTCAGTGGCATGTGGATTTTCAGGGTGAAGCGGCCGCCGGGTTCTCCGCCTGTCTTCAAGGCTCGTTACGTTGCTCAAGGCTTCAGTCAGCGAGAGGGAGTCGACTTCTTTCAGACCTTCTCCCCCACCCCGAAGATGACCACTCTTCGGGTACTGCTGCACGTTGCCGCTCAGCGTGACTACGAGCTTCACTCTCTTGACTTCAGCACAGCTTTCTTGCAGGGCAGTCTGCACGAGGAGATCTGGCTGCGTCGCCCTCCTGGCTTCACTGGGTCGTTTCCTCCTGGTACCCAGTGGAGCCTCCGGCGGCCAGTCTACGGTCTCCGCCAGGCGCCTCGTGAGTGGCACGACACACTGAGAACTACACTTGCGGCTCTTGGGTTCGCGCCGTCTACTGCTGACCCGTCGCTGTTTCTGCGCACCGACACTTCGCTGCCGCCGTTCTACATCCTCGTGTACGTCGACGACTTGGTCTTTGCCACTGCTGACACTGAGGCTCTCGCCCTGGTGAAGTCGGAGCTGCAGAAGAGACACACATGCACAGACCTGGGTGAACTGCGCAGCTACCTTGGCTTGCAGATCACCCGGGATAGAGCACGCCGCACCATCACACTGACTCAGTCTCACATGGTGCAGCAGGTCCTTCAGCGCTTCGGCTTCACGTGGTCCTCGCCACAGTCTACTCCTCGGGCTAAAGGTCACTTGCTCTCAGCTCCACCTTCGGACGAGTCCGTAGAGCCGAGTGGTCCTTACCCAGAGTTAGTGGGCTGCCTCATGTACCTGATGACTTGCACTCGTCCTGACCTAGCGTACCCTCTTGGCCTTCTTGCTCGCTACGTGGCTCCTGGTAGGCACCGAAAGGTGCACTGGGATGCTGCGAAGAGGGTATTGCGCTACTTGTGCAGTACATCGGGCATGGGGCTCGTGCTTGGAGGAGGGAGCCCAGTTGTTCTCACTGGGCACTCAGACGCTTCTTGGGTTGACGACCAGGCTACTCAGCGGTCATCCAAGGGTTACACCTTCAGTCTTGGCTCTGGCTCAGTTTCTTGGCGTTCTACACGTTCGTCTTCAGTTCTCAGCTCCAGTTGTGAGGCTGAGATCTACGCCAAAGCCATGGCTGCTCAGGAGTTACGCTGGCTCACCTACCTGCTGACCGACCTGGGAGAGCGGCCTCGTTCTCCTCCAGTGCTGTACGTTGACAACAAGGCTGCCATTGCCTTGTGTGAGGAGCACCGACTGGAGCACAGAACGAAGCACATCGCTCTGCGGTACTTTCTGGCTCGAGAGTTGCAGCAGCGTGGTCAGCTTCGTCTGCGTTACGTGGCCACTCAGGCCAACACTGCTGATATATTCACCAAGGCACTCCCGCCTAGTGATCATCAGCGCTTCTGCACTTTGTTGGGGCTTGTGCCCACTTTTCCTCACTTGCTGTAGACTTTGCGTGTACTGTGATCTATATATATATATATATATATATATATATCTGCATGCTTGCTAGATATAGATCACTGTGATGCTTGTGTTACATATATGCCTCTGCATGTGAACTGGCCTTGTGGCTCTTTGCTTGTGCTCAGAGTGTGTGGTGACGTTGTGATCCACCCTGGGCTTGCTTGCCTTTCTTGACTGGTCTTGTGACCCCTTGCTCTCCCCCACTTTGCCTATGGGGGTGTGTCAAACATTATACTTGTGTTGTTGCTGTGTAGGCTACAGTGGGTTAGCCTTTAGGGGGTACACAATTCTAGGGTTTTGTATTTGTACTCCCATCTTCTCATAGTGCACACACTTCTCTCATTCTGACACTCTATATACGGACCACTATACTCTACGGACTCATCCGAAGGTGGAGCTAAGAACGAGTGGCTCGTAGGCAGAGTAGTGGGCTGCGACGAGGAGAACTAAAAGCCGAAGCGCAGGACTTGCTGCACCATGTGTGACTGAGTCAGAGTGATGGTGTGTGCTTCTCTGTTCCAGGTGATATACAAGCCAAGATAGATCCGCAACTCACCCAGATCAGTGCAGGTGTGTCTCTTCCTTAGCTCGGCCTTCACGAAGGCGAGTGGCTCACTGTAAGCAGTCGCAAAGACCATGTCGTCGGCGTACACAAAGATGTAGCACGATGGCAAAGTAGAGTCACTGCGCAGAAACAGTGACGGGTCAGCAGTCGAAGGAGCGAACCCAAGAGCCGAAAATGCCATCCTCGGTGTGTCGTGCCACTTGGGGGGCGTTTGACGGAGACCGTAGACTGGCCGCCGGAGACTCCACTGGGTACCCTCACGAAACGATCCAGTAAAGGCAGGCGGGCGGCGCAACCAGATCTTCTTGCAGAAACTGTACTTCAAGAAAGTTGTCGAGAAGTCGAGCGAGTGCAATTCGTAGTCACGATGTGCTGCAACGTGCAGTAACACCCGAAGAGCGGTGATCTTCGGGGTGGGGTACACGAAGTCGACCCCCTCACGCTGACGAAAGTCTCGTGCAACGTAATGCACCTTGAAGACAGGCGGAAAACCCGGCGGCTGCTTCATTCTGAAAACCCACATGCCATCAACTATGTTCGCCTCAGAAGGGGAAACTGCGTACGTAGGTGTCAGTGGACTTCTAGGATGCCATCTCTGAGTACATAGTTGTCTGCCACTGAGAGGAGTAAAGACCCGTAATTGCCTCTGCGTAAGAGCGCGGGGTCGGGATGTCCAGTGCATCTGGGTCTCCCTCAGGGGCAAGCAGCATGGCAACGAGATGAGGTACAGCAGCCGCGAGGCATTCCAGTCGAACTTGTCAAAATATGTCAATCATATTTTATATTATTGCTTGTAGTGATGGCGTAGTTGTCTCATGTGTGATGGTGGTGCACCTCCTTGCCTAGCTTCTTCTTCCTTGCTATATCTTGTACCTTTCTTCCTTAGTAAAACCCCTTCTTCTTTCTCAACTTTGATCCATGGCTCATATGGCTCCTAACCTAGCCTAGGATTATATTGACATGGTATTAAGAGGTGTTCATTCCTGCAGACGTTCTCCCATAATGGGCCCACCGTTAGCTTCCGCTACTCTGCTGCCCGTCGCGCGCCCCGGGCGCGCGTCGGTTTTCTACTTGTCGCGCGCCCAGGGCGCGCACGTCGATTTTCTGCCCGTCGCGTGCCCCGGGCGCGCGTCGATTTCTTACCGTCGCGCGCCCCGGGCGCGCGTCGATTTCCTACCCGTCGCGCACCCCTGGCGTGCGACGGTTTCCTGCCCGTCGCGCGCCCGGGGCGCGCGACGGTTTCTGCCCGACAGGAGATCCAATCTGGCCAGCACATTACAATCGGAATCAGATCTTTCAAACTCGTTATCATCGGTGCTTTGGGCATGGGTTGGGGAGTGGATTTGCGAACACGGCGAGGACGACAAACACGAGCAACGGGCAAGGTAGGACGAGATGTAGGGTCTCGACGCTCAGTCAAGGAGAATGTCAACAAATAGTAACGGGGAGGAACAGGCAGAAGAGAGCCAGGCGGTAACTGTGCATGAGACTGATCAGGTGGCGGAAATAGTAGAGGAGTAGTACTAATAGTAGATGGCTCTGTAGAGGCAAGCAGAAGACAGAGAATGTGGTGAAGCGCTGACAAAGGAGGTCGCAGCGACGACTACGGCTGCTCCCAGAACAACGGTCGCCGCTCCAGTAGCTGCGCAACACCCCCAGATCGTCGATGTCGGTAAAATTAGCTCTAGTCGACGAGGGTAATCCCTACAGTTGTACTAAACAGAGTGCGCGGAAGACTTCTTTAAAAAGAACGTGATTACAGAGTGAAGCAACAATGAAGAAAGCAAGCAAATACAGGACGAATACGTGCTAGGCGAGAACCTCGTGACGTGTGTGGCTCGGAAATGTCGCAATTGGTTCGGTGGGCGATGGGCGACTCGGCATTGGTTCGGTGCGAAAGTGTAGGCCGAGCCACACTGACGCGAAGTGCTCGGGGCTGTGCTCTCTAGGAGCAGCCTCTACAGTAATGAATTGTATATTCATTACACTAACCAACCAGTCAATTCGCCTACACAAATAGGGTAACCAGAGCTGCAAGTGTTTTGCAATTGAAGGCCAATTCCCGTACTTGAGATCCTGGCTAGAGATGGAGAAGTCACCAAGAATTGTTGACTAGAGAGGCACAAGCAGATCTCAAGTTAGTGGGAATGGGGCCTTCTGCCGAGGCGTCTACAGTTCTCTTGACTTCACCAATAAGTCCATGCGATTCCTCATCCCAACCCAACCCGAAACTTTGTGGAGAGATTGAATCTGGATCCCAGCTATAGTGAACGGGCCCTTCCGGCGGGACTGCTTGGCTTTCCTCCAATAAATCATTGTGATGCGATCCCAGTTCCGTTCTGGCTTTCGCCAACGTTATCGAAGTCGCACACAGCCTTGGAGCCGCCATTCTAAACCACGATGGTTACTGCATAAATTTATTTCGCTTCTAGAGGGTCGAGCAACCTGAACATCAATCCCTGACTCAATCCCTGCAGAAGGCTCACCTGTTTCACGCCCTCCGCCTTTGGCAGATTCGAAAATCAAGGACTGGAAACGGGCCCTACTTGCAAGCTCTTGACTACCCCCCAATAAACCTCTTTTCGTTATTGCTTTCGCACACAGCCACGAAACACCCAATCCAAGCCCACAATGGCGCCTAAGCAACGCGTTCCTTCCAGCGACTCATGTCGCAGCGGTCGCACATGGCCAAGGCCTTGCCACGCCCGTCGCGGGCTGCGTCCCGCCACAGAGGTCCCTCCCGCCTCGCGGCACGGAAGCTCCATGGAACGGATGATGCGCCGGACGCTATGCTCGCTGCGATGCCCTTTTAAGCACCCGTGCCCGATCGTTCTCGTCACCACTTCTGCTTTTACAGTTTGCACCAATCAATCCTCAGCATGTCTTTCTCTCGGATTGCTCCTCTGCTCACTCCTGCTCTACTCCTGCTCTCGGACTTCTCGTGGCGATCAAGGTCGAAGAGCGAATGGCGTCCGCCGGAAGCGGCAGCATGGGGAATGGCAAGGCCGTCCGTGCGCTGCTCACCGTCGTCACCGTCATCGCCGGTACGCTCCGTCATTCTCTTCGCTCTCTCGCCCCATGCTCTCATGCGCCATCGTGCTCACGCCGTCGTGCGTTCAATGCACCACACGACAGCGCGCACACGCGATGATGGATGCCCAATGAGCTCGCCCTGCGTCCGTTCCGTTCCCCCCGCATGCCACTTGCTCCTCTCTTGCAGCGTGTCTCCTGCAGCCGTCGCAAGCAGCAGTGACCATATCGGTCTCAGTGCCGATTGCCACGGCGATGACGATCAACGGGCGCGCAATATCCTTCTGGTTGCGCCGATGTGTCAACCTTCCTGCCATGCCGCCTTCTCAGACGGCGCTGGTGACGGTGCAGCGGCAACAGGCGCACATGTCTGGCAGTGCTGTTTGCCGCACGATCCGGTTCTTCCAGGCTGCTGATTGCAAAGGGCGGGATGCATATTTGATCGCGGAGGGCAGAGGGAGGTGCGCCTTTCATTCTTGCGCGGCCGGGATTCCATGCTCGTATGCTCTTGATGCCGCTCGTCCTCTCCTCCTCCTGACCAACGATCGTTGCACTCGTGGCGCCCCCCCCCCCCCCCCCCCCCTGTGTGTGCAGTGACAAGTATATCTCTGGTGCAGCGAAGTCCGCCCTCTGCCTCACTGGTGCGTCCCCTCGTGTCTTGTCCTGCTCGCCTCTCCTCCTTTCCGCTCCGCGCAAACTCTCTCTCTCTCTCTCTCTCTCTCTCTCTCTCTCTCTCTCTCTCTCTCTCTCTCTCTCTCTCTCTCTCTCTCTCTCTCTCTCTCTCTCGAATGGTCCTTCGTATTGATCACCAAGGCCGTACACACAGAGGAACTAAGGTTAAGCTAATCTAAACAAACAGACAAGACCCAACAAGCAACAGACAGGTAAGTACTACAGCTTCTCCGTCGCCCGCCCCTTCTCCCCCCGTCCCTACTGGCCGGTGGGGTCTTCCAGCAGCTGGTACAGCTGCTCCTCCCCAGGCAGCCGAACGGGCCCTGCAGGCCTAGCTCGTCCACGGCGAAGGCCTCGTGGGTCTTGTCGCGGAGGGCATTGGCCTGGGCGCGCTGGAGTGTGACGCTCCAGCGCTGCCGGTATTCCGTGAGCAGCCTGGCCACCTCCCTCGACTTCGGCCCTGCGTTGAACCGCCGTTTGCCCGCGAGCTCGGCGCAGCTGCGGAGGAAGTCGTGGACTCCCGGGGAGGGGTAGCCGTAGGTCTCGACCGCCATGGCGTGGAATCCTACCCACTCGTTCCTCCGAGCGTACTTGTCCTCCTTCCTTGCGGCTTGCATCCTAGCTCCCCACCCTGGTGCTTTACGTGCGTATTCGTCCTGGTGTGAGACCGGGTCCGTCACGGTGATGTCGCACATGTGGACCTCGCCGGTGTCGGGATGGCGGATGCAAACATCCGCTTTCAGGTTTTCGACCGGTGAGTAAATTGTGGATTCCTCTCCTCTCTCTCTCTCTCTCTCTCTCTCTCTCTCTCTCTCTCTCTCCTCTCTCTCTCTCTCTCTCTCCCCCCCCCCCCCCCCCCCCCCCCCCCCCCCCCCCCCCCCCCCCCCCCCCCCCCCCCCCCCCCCCCCCCCCCCCCTCTCTCGCTGACCTCGCGCTCCCACCTGCACAGCCCAGTTTGCTGCGCTGCAGAGCGCACGACACCAGTGGGTGGGTGCCGCGCCTCATCTCTGCTTTCCCCTTCCCCCTTTCCCGCTTCCGCACGGCGCTGTGCTGCAGATAACTTGTGTAATTATGCGCGCTGCCCTGCCGGCTCTAACGCGTGCAACCCAACCACTGACAACAGCGCGGCAGTGACTTGCACGTGCAACAGAGGCTACAGTGTTGTCAACAACAAATGCCAGCCTCCCAGTAAGCTTCGTATGGTTTCGCTCAGCATGGTCTCGTTGCTGCAACTCTCTCCTCCGCCCTGCCTCGCCTGCTCTCCTCTCTTTGAATGCTTCCCTGTCCGGATGGACCCTTGTGCTCACCAGCCCTCTCTCTCCTTGCCTGTGTTCCAGAACCCTCGTGCGTCACTACAGGCTGCCCTCCCAACTCCGAGTGTGCCAAACGCACCGGTGGCACCGAAATGGAGTGCAGGTGCAGGTCGGGCTACAATTCAGTCCGTGGCACCTGTATGCCAGCAGCAAAATCCGGCACCATCTCAGCACCGTCCGGCACCACCTCAGCACAGTCCGGCACCACCTCAGCACCGTCTGGCACCACCTCAGCACCGTCCTTCACCACCTCAGCACCGTCCTTCACCACCTCAGCACCGTCCTTCACCACCTCAGCTCCGTCCTTCACCACCTCAGCATCGTCCGGCACCACCTCAGCACCGTCCAGCACCACCTCAGCACCGTCCGGCACCACCTCAGCACCGTCTGGCACTACCTCAGCACCGTCTGGCACTACCTCAGCACCGTCTGGCACTACCTCAGCACCGTCCGGCACTACCTCAGCACCGTCCGGCACCACCACAGCATCGTCTACCACAACACCTTCAAGCGGGACTTCAGAATCTTCCAGCAACGTTTCAGAGTCTCCAAGCTACATCTCAGATTCTTTCAGCGACACTTCAGAATCTTCCAACTACGTGTCAGAAATTCCTAACTACGTTCCAGAATCTTCCAGCGACGCGTCAGAATTTTCCAACGACGTGTCGGATTTTCCCAACTAAGCTTCAGGTCCTTCCAGTGGCAACTCCGTACCTTCCTATCCCTCTACTTCAGCTAAACCAAGTGGCTGGAATTAATTGCCACATCCAGAAGAGTTGAGGGACGTATTGTGTAGGGACACGGCTGTTGCTGTGCTTCTCAGACAGGTTAAAAGGCAGTTTGTCAATGGGTCTTGGGGAAGGACCTTGAGCAGGCGCCAAGGGTCGCTGGCAAATTCTCAAGGAGGAAGGGTAGAAGAAACCAAGCTGGTAGCTGCACTGCGGGTTATCAGACCCTCCCTGTCCGAGCTGGTTTAGTTTTCTCACGTTTGCTACGCAACCCCCTCCCCTTTCCCCCCCTCCCCCCTCCCCCACCTTGTTCTCTCTTAGTTTGTTGTAATCTTTGTTTAATCTGGGAAGACCATCTGATGCAAATATTTTCAGTTTCCATTACAATAGGGCAGGGCTTAGTTTTCTTTTCTTAGCAATACTATACATGTGCTTTCACATTTTGAAGCTAGTTGTCATACGCTTTTGGCTACTTTCGTGTAGATGCTTGGCTTGGCTCAGCCTCACAGCCAAGCCATTCCTTTCAACGACCTCCCTCTTCGGCATTGGTCGAGCTTCGTGGCATGGCTGGCAAAGACGACGATTGTGTGGGGGGGAGGGGCAGTTCCCTCACAGAATTGGAGGGCCATGCACCTTGGGATTCGCTGGTTGGTGGGCGGCTGGTTGGTCACCTAGGTCGCAAATGTATGAACTTTGAAGTCCCTGCTCTGGTCCGCTCCCCCTCCCCGCTAATTCCGTTACTTTCGCCGCCTGCCTATGCACCGCACGGTCCGCATCCACCTTCCCCACTCCCTCCCCCTCTCCTCTTCCCCCCAGCCCCAACCCCCCACCACTTCCCTCCCCTATCCATCCGCACACTCCACAGCCACACAAGTCCATCCATCAATCACCACCACCAGCCGAAATTCCCTCTGCCCCGCTCTGGCCCCGCTCTCTCCCATCCCATCCCAATCCTCGTGTACCTGCGCATCGAACTTGGTCGCGCATCCGCACCACTGCAATCTATGATACAATTTGCTGCCATCTTGCACTCTGTGCTAGGAATTGTGTTGAGGAAGCATTGAACCAGGGTCCAGCCGCCGCCATTGACGCTCATTCTTCCGTTTCGCCGCAGCAATTTTCCATCCGACGCTTTCCCGACCGAGACGGTGCAATTCGAGCAGTCCGTTTGGCTCAAGCATCAAGGGTCGTCAAATTAGTAACGAGCAATCGAGATCCAGCTGCGCGGAATCAACGTTCGAGACTGGAATGTGATCGAACTCTAGTCTAGCATTTACCTGCCTGGTTCCCTTAGAGGCGGCCATCTCACGTCGCTGCGTAAGGAACGGCGGACTCATTTCTAACGCGCCGCTTACTATGTTTCCGTGACCCGCCAGACAAGGTCCGTCCGTGCTGTCACCATTTCGACCGTTCGATTCCGTCGTGTTTTCTTTCCCTTAGGGTTGCTAGTATCCACCCTCAGATCGCATCCGTGCACGCATTTTGAGAGACCAGGCACGACGAAGATGATTCAGACGATCTTTGCGGTGGCGCGTTGATTGATCCGTGAATCTAATCCGGTATGCGTCACCGTCAAGCGTCTTACACTGGAACTTGCCAGCACTTCATTATGCTCCTGAATGACAGATGTCGTTACACTCCAGTTGCGGTGCTCATTCAACCGACCACAGTTCCTGATCCAGTGTCCAGTTTTCCGGCCCTCTTCTTCCTTTCGCACCCACACACCCCCACTTCCTTTTACCTCCTGAATGCAGTAAAAGGAGGAGCTTCAAGGCAGAAGCACTTTCGTGTTTCAGTGTGCGGAGATCACGCTACTGCTCAGTGCTTGTGCGCTCTTGAGATGGATAGGAGCAACAACCGCGTCTTGCCCCGGGCAAGAATAAACGGGGCCTCCAGCTAATGCACCACCAACACCAGCAACTCCAGCAATTCCAGCAGCAACAGCAGCAACAGCAGCAGCAGCAGCAGCAGCAGCAGCAGCAGCAGCAGCAGCAGCAGCAGCAGCAGCAGCAGCAGCAGCAGCAGCAGCAGCAGCAGCAGCAGCAGCAGCAGCAGCAGCAGCAGCGCATTTGCCATTTGCACCCGCACACCTTCATCAAGAGCGTATTTTTTTTTTTCTTAAGGATCCGCGCGCGCGCCCGTATTCCCTCACCACCCGCACGCAACTACCATTTTGGCCCGTTGCGCCTTCCTTCCCCGCATCCCACGCTCAAACGTAACCTTCGCGCGCCATCATGGCCCCTGCTTTCCCGCGCGGGCCCTCCGCGTCCGCTCCGGAAATCGAGGAGGAGGGAAGCGCGCTGCGGCCTGTCGAACCCAGGACCGGCGCATCTACTAGCGCCGTCGTCAACGGCGCCACCACCAGCGCTACCACCGGCGGCGGCGGCGCTAGCGGGGTTAGCGGAGTGGTGGTTGCGGCGGAGACGAAAAGGGGGAGGCTGCGGAAACCAGGGCGGAGAGATCTGGGGGACAGCAGCGCGGGGGAAGATTCGGAAGGGTTTTTGAGCGGAAAGGAGGATGGGGGGGAGGGGCGGGGGTTGCTGAAGGGAATTCTGAAGCGCGGTGGTGGGGGGAGTCAGCGGGAGGGAGGAAGCGTGGGGGGAAGCGGAAGCGGAGGAAGGTTCGGGTCGAGTTTGTCCGAGGAGGAATGGAAGGAGTATTTCAAGAAAAGCCTCACGGAGATTTTCATGGGGTCGAAACTGAACGTGCTGATGCCGTTTATCGTGATCTCCATTGTGTGCGTGCAGCTGGAAGTGTCGCAGGTGATTGAGGGCGTGGGGGTTGTAGGATTGAGTTGCCTCAAAAGCAGCTCAACGTGCTGATGCCGTTCGTTGTGATCTGAATTGTGTGCGTGCAGCTGGAAGTGTCGCAGGTAATGGAGTGAAAGGAATTAGGAGTAGCAGGAGACTCGAAGTCATTAGAGTGATTGGACTAATAGGTCTTACAGTCACTGATTTTCTTTAGGGGGGGCGTGGGGAGTTTAATAGGAATGATACGTGGCGGCCATATATTGGGGTTTTGTTCGAGGAGCATGGGTCGTCGTGGGAATGTGAAGGCGTGATAGGAAAGGTGCCGATGCTCTGTGAATGGGATTGGGGAAAGATGAGGCTCAGTAGTTCCTCTTGCTTGAAATCTCCCTGTCCCAAGGGAGTGATTCCAAGGAGTGACACCCTTCGCTCTACTCAACCTGTGCTTTCCCCTCCCCCCACCCCACCCCCTTCGCTCCCCGTCGCTCCCCTCTCCCTCTCCCCTCGCCCCATGTCGGCAGGGCTACATATTCCTCTTCTCTCTCCTTGGAATCGCTCCCTTGGCTGAACGGCTAGGATATGTCACTGAGTGAGTCATGGCATGGCATGACATGGGATGGCATGGCATGGGATGGCATGGGATGGCATGGGATGGCATGGGATGGCATGGGATGGCATGGGATGGCATGCGCTGGAGCGTGGAAATAGTACTGTGTGGTAGCATGGTATGGTGGAGGAGGGAATATGAATGGTGTAACAACATTCCTGGTGGAATCAGCTTATGTGTGTGTGCCTCATGCTGCAATCGGATGTCATTGCATGGCATGTCAGTTGTGGCCACTGACCCCTCTGTTGTGACCACTGACCCCTCTGTTTCAGCCTGCCCCAAAAATTTTCCTTCATGCGACTTGCGTCTTCGCGGGCGTCCTGCATCCTGCGTCCAGAGGCTGCGTGTGGACGCAGGACGCAAGACGCCCTGAGCGGCTTCGGCAACTTAGTTGTGACCACTAGCCCCTTTGCGCTGACGAATTCACTGAAGCTCGTTTTTCCCTCTTTGTGTATGCGTGTCTGGATGCACCTGCGAGAATCTTATGTGTGCATGTGCTGTCTGTGTGCATGGGTGCATGGGTGCATGGGTGCATGGGTGCATGGGTGCATGGGTGCATGTGTGTCCTCATTTGAATGTGGCTGTGTGTGCATGTCCATTGCATATGCTCCTGTGCATGATTCGATTTTACTGTGCATGACTCTTCGTGCATAATATGGTACTGTGTATGGACCATCCCCTCTGCCTCTCACACTACAGGCAACTCGCACTCTACACAGGTCCAACCTGTAAGATCCTACATCCCCTCCCTCTTCCTCTCATGCCTCTCTTCCATGCACAGTAACACTTCTGATCATCTACGTGTTCCATAGCCTGCTTGAATGCTCTCTCCACTCCTCCCCCCCCCCCCCCCTCCCCCCCCTCCCCCCCCACCTCGCCCTTCTGAGCGACTATTAAAGCACCTCAGACGTTAATGGTCTCTCCACACCACATATCTCCCCCCTTTTTCCTCTTTCTCTCTCCAGTGGGCGGGCTGCTGAACGCCACGTTTGGCAACGCCACGGAGCTGATCATCAGCGTGTTTGCTCTGCGCAACGGCATGATCCGCGTGGTGCAGCTGTCGCTGCTGGGCTCCATTCTCTCCAACATGCTGCTCGTGCTTGGCTGTGCCTTCTACGCTGGCGGGCTGCGCTACCGCGAACAGAAGTTCAACAAGGTGGGTTGTTGGGGGGGGGGAGGGGAGGGGGAGGGGGGAGAGAGGGAGAGGTGAAGGGTACACGGTGGCTGGGAGAGTGAGGTGAAGGGCAAACGGGCGGGGAGGGAGAAAGAGGCGCATGCGAGCAGGTGAGGGCGAGGGAAAAGCGGGGGAAAGGGCGTAAAACCCGTGAAAAGGAGAACCATGTACTGCCAGGCCAGTCAGAAGAAGTTAAACAATTTCACACAAAAATCCTTCTTGTGGAGCAAAAACGTGCCTTCACAACTCCCTTCCTTCCTTCCTTCCTCCCTTCCCTCCCCTTTGTCACCCTTTCCCTAACTAATCCCACCCACCCACCTACCCTCTTTCTCACCTCATCTTCTTCCCCCTGTCGGCACAATCATCTACATACAGCACTTCCATGTTTCATCCTCCTCATCTTTTGAGTCGACTCAAAAGTCACCTCCTCATCTACTTTCCATGTTTCAATTGAACTTCGGGCAAGCATACTTTCGCCCTCCACCCCCTGCTGCCTCCCTATCCCCGGACTGCTGAGCGCCGCTGAACTCTCAACCATGAATAAACCCTAAACCTAGAACCCGGAATGCAGTTTCTTGAACCCGAAACCCATAAACAAGGCGTGAAAGGATCCAGCGCTTCCTTTCCAGCACATGACTTTTGAGACATCTCAAATCGCGGATTGATCCGACATCCACCGCTGGCTTTGGCTGGCCTTGCTCTTGGGTTCTTTCAAAACCCTCTCGGATCCACTCCTCTCCCTTTCCCTCCCTCCTGCCAGGCCTATCTCTCTCTTTTCCCTCCGTCCCCCCTCTCCTTCCCATGCTCACTTCCACTCCACTCCACCATCTGTCCCCCATCTTGGTGATAACCATTCGTTCCAAACCATTTCCATCACTCTCCCCTCCCCCTCCCTGCCCCGTTCCCCACATCCTTCACCCGCCCTTGCACCTCTCTCCCCCCTCCCCTCTTCCAGACATCTGCACTGGTGAACTCGGGGCTGCTGCTGATGGCAGTGATGGGCCTCGCCCTACCCGCCATCCTGCACTCCACGCACACGGAGATTCGAGACAACGACTCGGAGCTCTCCCTCTCGCGCATCAGAAGCTGCATCATGCTCTCTACAATCTTGTTTTTCCCAACCCGCCTCTTCCACTCTCCCCACTCCTACCCCCCATACACACACCCCCTCCCTCTTCCCCCTCCCCTCTCCCCTTCCCCCCACACCTCTCCTCTTCTCCCCCATTCCCTTCCCCAGACAGCTGCACTGGTGAACTCGGGGCTGCTGCTGATGGCAGTGATGGGGCTGGCCCTGCCAGCCATACTGCACTCCACACACACGGAGATCCGAGACAACGACTCGGAGCTCGCGCTCTCGCGCATCAGCAGCTGCATCATGCTCACAGCCTACGCCGCGTACCTCTACTTTCAGCTCAAGTCCCACGTGCACTTATATGATGAGAGCGCGGACGGGGATGCCAAGGGCGGTGGTGCGCGCAAGGGCGAGGCAGCGGTGATTGGGACGTGCAATAGTCCGAGGATGAAGATGGTGCATCCCGGGGCGACCACGATTGCTAGTCCTAGGGTGGGTGGGGGTGGGGGGGTGGGGAGGGAGGGGTGGGAGAGGGTGAATGAGGGATTTTTTTTACTAGAATGGGGAATCGAGGCAGCGGTGATTGGGACGTGCAATAGGCCAAGGATGAAGATGGTGAGAGGGAGGGAGGGAGGGAGGGAGGGAGGGAGGGAGGGAGGAGAGGGAAAGAGGGAATGGAAGAAAGGAAAGGCAATGGGAGGGAACGGTTGAGGGCAAGGCATGTGCATCTGGAGAGAGGGCAAACAAGAAAGGGGAACTTGTTCCAACTGTGTTCGCAATATAGCACTTTCCCCGCTCCTTTCGATTCACTCCCCCGCTCCCCGCCATTCCGCTGCTGCCTTCCCATTCCCCGCCTCCCCTCCCATTCCTCTTCTCCCTCCAATCCCCTCCCCTCCCACTCCCCAATGCCAACCAACGGCTGAGCAGGACCTGGAGGTGGGTAAGGAGGACGACGAGGAGGAGGAGGAAGAGGAGGTGCTGGGGCTGTGGGGGTCTATAGTGTGGATGGGCATCATCACCATCTTCATCGCCATCCTCTCGGAGTACCTTGTGGACGCCATTGAGGTAGGCGTGCCGAGCGAGCAGAGTGGGGGGCCCGGGGGGTGACTTGTTTTGAGAGTCGACTCAAAAGGGCATTGTCACCATCTTCACGGCCATCCTCTCAGCTCAGAGTAGCTCGTTGAGGCCATCACGGTAAGCATGCCCGACCGGACGTACCCGGTGGTGGGGCCCTCATGGGATGGTGGCGGTGCACGAGGTGTGTGTTGTGTTGGCCGGGGCGAGAGCTTGGGTTGTGGAGGTGCGCTCTGATGGATGGATGGATGTATGTATGTGCCCAAGGGGCCTGAAATAAGCCCCTTACGAATTATTCCAGCGATGGATATGCCACTCGTGCTCCTCTCACCAGTGCCACTCACACACATCCTCATCGTGTCTGCCCATCATCCATTCCTGATGCACGCACCCAAATGAACCTCCTTTTCCTAGCCTGCACAACCCCTCACCCTCCTGGCCCTTCCCGATTCCCCTCCTTTCTCTCTCCAACCAACCTCTTCCCTCCCTTCCCCCCATGCGTGTAAAACTTGCATGTACGAGCAGGGAGCGAGCAACAGCTGGGACATGCCAGTGGCGTTCATCAGTGTGGTAATCCTGCCCATCGTGGGCAATGCAGCAGAGCACGCCTCTGCTATCATCTTGCTATTAAAAACAAGCTCGTGCGTGCACCCCCTCCCCCTGCTCCCCTCTCCCCTTCCCCCTCTCCCCTCCCCCTCTCCCTCTCCCTCTCCGCCTTGATGTGAAGCGTCTTAAAACTTTTTGTTCGACTATCGTGAGCAAATCCTTCTTTCTGATTCCTGCTTTCTTTGATGCACATTGCATGTACTTGCTCTCTTTCCGTTCCCTTCTCACTTCTCTCTCCGCCTTCTGCTGTTTTTACCACTATTCCTACTACTCCCATCCATAAAATTGCTACTTTTCTGAAACTAATCCAGTACTGGCCCATATGCTCTCATCAATTTCAGCCCATCCATCCTCTCCCCCTTCCTCGCACATTTCCTCCTCCCCACCTGAATCTAATCCACTCCAACCATCAGGACATTGCTCTTGGTGTTGCCATCGGGTCATCTACACAAATCTCCATGTTTGCGGTTCGTTTCTTCCACTTGCTCACTGCCTGCTCCTCCAACCTTGCTTCTGTGTTCAACCCTTGTCCTCCGTTCCTCCCTCCACCCGACTTCCAAGCCTCACGCCTTTCTTTCTTACTTCCTGACTCCGTCTACCCTTATCTCCCCCACATCCATTCTCATGTTCCCTAACCATGTCAGCTGGTTGTCGTCTGAAAACAAAACCAGTGCTGAGTTTGTTTTGTTTCTTTGCTTGCCATTTTTTGTTCAAGACTCCTCACCCGGTGTTCCTGTTTATTTCTCCTATTCCTTGCCAGATTCCGCTGTGTGTGGTGCTAGGATGGGCCATGGGAGTGCCCATGGATCTCAACTTCCACATATTTGAAACCGCCACACTCTTTGTCACTGTGCTTGTCGTGGCGGCACTGCTTGCGGTAAGTCTGCACAGGTTGTGGGAAAAGGAGGGGCGGCGCACTTGCTGTTGTGCTTGTTCCCACTTTGCCCGTTGCGTTCCACATGTGTCTGGTCTGGGTGCAAGAAACTGTATAACACCTGAATGATATTTGTGCTGTGCACTGGTTGATTGCAGGAAGGAGAAGCTAATTATTTCAAGGGCATCATGCTGGTACTCTCGTATCTTATTGTCTCTGCAAGCTACTTCGTCCACAATGACGCCTCTGAGACCCCGGATTGGCCTGGTCCACATGCCTGACTCAGGTGGCTTGGATGGCATCTTTTCGTTGATTAATTGCTCGTGGCCAAGGTTGTGTTGGTTTGTTGTGTAGTCTTTTTGGAAGTGCAAGTGTGTACCATACATTTTATCCGAGGTTCTGGAATCCCTCGTCGCGATTTTGCACCCACATTCTGGGAGAGTCAATCAGTGACAGCCACGCAAGCACCATTCCCATATCCCTTGCAATGTGAATGCTCTGGGAATGGCGAGGCGACCCTTTGGAATCTCGCTTCGCTAATGTCGCTGGTGTTCGCCCCCCCCTCGCGAGGGTAGCAACCAACACAACAATCTTCATTCCTTCCCCACCCCCACCACGGCTTCCTTACACCACAGCCACATTACAGTCCTTCCACCCTTCACGGTGTACTATTTCTCCTCCAGGCGCCATGGCCGCAGTTACTGCAATGGCAGCAGCAACCCTGCCTTCTCTGTGTAGCGCGTCCCGACATTTCCAGTCGGGCGCAAGTGTGTGCAGGAGCGAGGCAACCACAGCACGCTTCGCACAGAGAAGTAGAGAGCTGCGACATCAACGTCTTGTAGTACGGGCAGCTAAGGTGAGGGTCAAAGTAGTCTGCTTGCGGCGAACTATGCCCTTCCTGTAAATCTATCGTTTCTTGCGAAGCGCAGCGTCACAGATTGGTTTTGGACACGAAGATATTTGTGACCTAATGGAGGCTCCTCCGATTGGCAAAGACCGTTCTTATTTGCTATTGAAAAAACCAAACCCTTTGGCGTTCTCATAAATCTCGACGCTCCCTCCTTTCACTGGCCACTCGCGCAAGTAGCCGCAGTCAGAAACAGCAGCAGAATACGTATACGCAGTTGAGCAAGCCATGAAAGCATCGCGCTGCAGCAGAAGCAAGGAGTGTTGGAAGGTTGACAACATGATCTTACATCTCTGACTTATTCAAGAAACGCGTTGTATGAATGTTGCACGATGATGGTCGCAGGGAGGGAAAGGCAACTCGGAGGAGGATGATGGGGCCAAGCTGAGCTCCGCGGAGAGGCTAGCGGCACTGGAGGAGAGGCTGGGGAAGGGCAAGAGCACCATCTGGAGGTACGTAGGAGGACGGGGACAAGGACGGGGATAGCTGTCTCTCGTTAAAGTGTCTCTCCTAGTTTCGAAGTTGCACAACCACGAACAACAACATTCATCGCGTAAGCTGCGTTCTGCTCTTCATCTCCGCCATTACCCCGCGTGGCTGCGCTTCTCTTTCCCTTCTTCCCAGTGTCACACCAGAGCCTGAGCCGACACCTCCCCCGAAGGCTGCTGAGCCTGTGTTTAAGATGTCTGGTGAGAAGTCGAGTTTTGAGAGGCTGGTGGAAGCATGGCTGGCCAAGGACGGCGGCCTTGCCAAGCTCAACGATTTTGCCTACAAGGCCATTTTCGTTCTGGCTGGTGCTTGGATCCTCTTCCGATTTATCGGACCAGCTACTGGCCTGTATTCTCTTGAGGACTCTCTCTTTGGTTAAGAACTAGGCTAAACTTCTGAGTCTGAAAAAATTCTGGAGTGCTTTGGTATCGGGTTTAACTTAGTCTGCTGCTCCCTTTTTTTTTTTGTTATTGTAGTGCAATGACTCTGCATGAAGATTAGAGTTAACATAAGTCGGTACGAGAAGTTGTCCAAGTTAGTTGTACATAAGTTTTAGTTCCGAGTTCTACTGCAGCGAGCATTTATCCTCTTTCAGCATGCCTCATCATGCTATGCCTCATGCCACGCACGCCATGTCGTTCCCGCCAACACAGACATCCGTTCAGGCGCTGAGCCATCCAATCACGTCGCGCGCAACCACATTCCGCGGTCTTTCAGACTTCGCCTCCCCGCAACCCTACAAGCGCAGGGGCGCGCGCTCAAACTCGATTTCACCCCGGCGGGAGAACCGCCAGCGTGCAACCGGAGGCACAAGGACGGGGCACAGATAACGCGGAAGCGATGGCGCTCCAATGAGTCTCGTCTCTCGTCTCGCCTCGCCTCGTGAGCAGCGACTCGTTGCTGTCTAGCTGATCCTCCTCCGGACTCCAGATCACTGAAGAATGCAGAAATAGTTTGTTCTCTGGGCTAAATGAATTCAGGGATGGTTGCCCGCATCACGCACCTGTCATTTACTCTCGCGTTGCGCGTAGCGACCTCGTGGCAACGAACCTCAGCGGGATATTCTTGTAATCTTCCAACGCGCCTCTTCCCTGCTTGTCACGTTTCCCCCATTATCCACCTGTTGCACACGTTTTTAAGCGCTTAGGGAACTCCTCCGTTCGCCGTCGTCTTTTTTCTTCCTCCTCGTTCTCATCGCCGCTTTCGCCGCTGCGTCCCCAGCTGTTGCCTCCTCACGTCGTGGTTACCGAAAGTCCTTACGATCGTCTGATCGACCGATTGGGCTGGTCGCTGATCATCTGACCGTCGGGTTGGGCTGGTCGCTCGATTATCTGGTCGCCTGATCGCAAGAGAGGGAGGTCGCTGCTAATCTGTGAGCGTATTACGAGGCTACTTCTGTTGCTGCTGCTGCTTTTGGGTCTACTGCACTGGCACGAGGCGTCTCGAGACATGTCATTACCCCTATCACGCTGCAGCGCCTCCAGCGTCTCTCCCGTCATTCCGAGATAATTCCGGCGAACCGATCTACTGTTGTCGCCACTATCCGTTTAAAGTCTCTTCGCTAGGATTTCTTCCCCATAAAACGCCTCTGCAATCCTCAGCGGCACGAAAAGCACTCGTTATTCCATTCTTCGGCTGGGTTACTCTCTCCACCCCCAACCCTTAATTTCAAAGTCGACTCAAAAGCAGGTCTCCTTTATGCCCTACCCCCACTCGCGCCGCTTGTCACCGCTCCTGCGCCCTCTCTTCTCCCTCCCTCTCCGTCGCGCGATCCCTCCCCAACAACCCTCCCAAAGCTTTCTCGCAATTGCCGCCATGCACACTGCACTGGTCTCCGCGCCGCGATCCGCGCCGCTCCACGCGCTTCTTCTGACGCGGGGGAGGTGGACGCGAGGGGACACGTGGCGTGAGGGGATTGGGTGGAGTAAGAGCGGTGCTGTTTTCTCCAGGTGAGGCTCGCGTGTTCCTTTTACAGGAGATAATGATGTAGTTTTTTAACTTGGCAAAGACAAGAAATGCTTTTAACAAATAGATTTTTGTCAGAAAGGAATTTGAGGTTGTGTTTGTGACCTCCTCCTCCTCCTCCTCCTCCTCCTCCTCCTCCTCCTCCCCTCCTCCTCCTCCTCCTCCTCCTCCTCCTCCTCCTCCTCCTCCTCCTCATCCTCCTCCTCCTCCTCATCCTCCTCCTCCTCCTCATCCTCCTCCTCCTCATCCTCCTCCTCCTCCTCCTCCTCCTCCTCCTCCTCCTCCTCCTCCTCCTCCTCCTCCTCCTCCTCCTCCCACCCCCCCTTCTCCTCTCTCCCCGTTCTCCGTTTTCCCCAATCACGACCTCTTCCCTCGCCTGATCACCTTCTCATAACCCCCCACTCCCCCTTCCGCCAACCACCCCCCCCCCCCCCCCCCATGCGCCTTCCCACTGGTCGCGCGCCTGTCCCCTTCCGCCAGTCCCTTCCATCCGCCCGCACTTAGCATGCCGACGCCGCGCTTCCCACGCTGTGCCGCCTACTCGCCTCCCTCCACCTCACCTCTCCCATTTTCTCCCCTCCACCTCCTCCTCCCTCTCCTCCGTCTCCTTCTCCTCCCCCCCTTCCCCATTCGTCTCCTCCGCCTCTTCCCTCCGGGTTCCATCTTCCCGTCTGCCACCCGCCGCTGCCTCTCTCACCACTCGCGCCTTCCCCCCGCCATCTTTTTCGTCTCCGCTCTTTCCTCCTCCAGTCAAACCCCACGGGATCCCACTCACCCCCTCCCGCCAGCGCAAACGTCACAAAGCAAAAGCACATGCTTTTCCCGGCGCCGCCGCCTCCTCCTCCTCCTCCTCCTCCTCCTCCTCCTCCTCCTCCTCCTCCTCCTCCCCCTCCGCGGCCTCTACCCACCCCGCCCCGTCCGCATTCCAGCCGCACAGAAGGGGGCGTAAGCCGAGGGCGGCCAAGGAGACCGTTTTTGAGACGTCTCAAAAGCCGTCCTCATCCCAGTCTCACGGCAGCAAGCCGAGAGCGGCTAAGGGGACGGTTCATGAGACGTCGACGTCTAAAAAAGCATCCGCGACTCAGTCCCACGGTAGCAAGGCGCGCAAGCTGACTGCGGCGAAGGAGAGGGAGGTGATAGAGTGGTACCGTGGGCACATGGAGCAGTGCAAGAAGCAGAGCGCACGCGAGCTGGTGAAGAACCTGGATTACTCCAATATTCTGGGGATCAACCCCACGTTCAAAAATGGAAAGTAAGTGCGTCCGGGGTGTGTGTGTGTGTGTGTGTGTGTGTGTGTGTGTGTGTGTGTGTGTGTGTGTGTGTGTGTGTTTGTTGGGAGGGGGGGGAGGGGGGTGTGAGAGTGTGTGTGAGTTTTAGTCTCTGTGTGTTTGTTTCTGTGAGTGTGCGCATGCGAGTGTGTGTGTGTGTGTGTGTGTGTGTGTGTGTGTGTGTGTGTGTGTGTGTGTGTGACGGGTGGGCACATGGAGCAGTGCAAGAAGCAGAGCGCGCGCGAGCTGGTGAAGAACCTGGATTACTCCAATATTCTGGGGATCAACCCCACGTTCAAGAATGGAAAGTAAGTGCGTGTGTGTGTGTGGGTGTGTGTTTGTGGGAGAGGGCGCGTGTGTGTGTGTGTGGGTGTGTGTGAGAGAGAGTGTGTGTGTGGGTGTGTGTATGTGTGTGTGTGTGTGTGTGCATGTGTGTGTGTGTGCGTGTTGAGGTGAGTGTGAGTGCGTGTTTGTATGTGTGTGTTGGAGGAGGGGTGGGGAGGGGGGCTGCAGTTGCATCATATCCATCGCTGTTCTTGAACATTTGTTATCACATGCATGCTGCTGCTGGCAGCATTTGAATACGAGCACGAGCATGGCACCACATGAGCGCCTCCGTTTGCCTGTGCTGTGCTGTGCTGTTCTGATGGTTCGAGACTGTTCATCCAAAGGGCCACCAGTTGGGCGCAAGGCAGGGTGTGTGTACCTGCCCTGCTGCTTGTTGTGCTTGCTCGTCTCTTCTCTCATGCATCTCTCTTTTCAACAAGCTTCAAGAACTTACTGGTCTCGTTTTCCTGTTCTTTCTGGTGCCTTTTCTCCTGTTTTTTTCTGTGCCAAAGCCATGCGATTTTTGAGGCGCCTCAAACAATTTCTGTGCCAAAGCCATGCCTGTGCAATATGTGCACGGCAGCACAGCACGAGCATTGATTCTGAGACATCTTGAAAGGCAGTACAAGCTTTTTTTAAGCTTTTTTTCTTCTTCTTTGTGGTGTGTCTTCCATTTCATCCCCATTTCTCTTTGCTTTGCTGCATGTGTGTGTGTGTGTGTGTGTGTGTGTGTGTGGATGGGTGTGTGTGTCTTGGGGGGGGGGGGGGGCGTGTGTGCGTGCACGTGCGTGCGTGCGTGCATGTGTGCAGGATGACCCCTGGCTCTGTGAACGATACTATTCTCGGCTACAAGCGCCAGTTCCCGCATGAAGTCGTGCTCTGTAGGGTACAGTACAGTCCAGTGCGGTGCAGAGCGGTGGTCACTGTAAAATGCACACACCAATCTTTCTTCCTCTGCTTATGCTCGCTCGCACATACACTCTCCGAACCCCTGTTCTTGCACTCGTTTTTGTTATTCCCAAGCATGAGTCGTAGCCATAAGTAATGAGGTGCATTGTTTTCGAACCGTTGCGTCCGCGCTTGCCGAATGTTTTCCCATATTTTTTACCAGTCCAGTCGCCTTCTTACCTTGCTAAATCGCAACTTCTTTGTACCCAGAACCTGAATTCTCAAGTCTCCCTTGCCGCCATCTCACTCCTGCTCCGATCCAACTTACTGTTCTCCCTCCTCTCCCCCTCTGCAATCCCCTGTCCCCCCTCGCCCCCTCCTCCCCTGTAACACCCCCCAGTGCCCAGGTCTCCACCTAACCACCACCTTTCACTCCCCTTCTCTCTCTCCTTGCTCCCCCCTCGTCCCTCTCCCGTCTCCCCTCCTTCTCGGCTCCCCCGCATGTCCTCATGCGCGGCATGGCATGGCATGGCATGGCATGGCATGGCATGTCATGGCATGGCAGGTGGGCGAGTTTTACGAGACGGTGGGCTTTGACGCGTGTCTGCTGGTGGAGCATGCAGGCCTCAACCCCATGGGCGGCGCCCGCCCCAACACCGTGCCCAAAGCCGGCTGCCCCTTCATCAACCTAATGCAGGTAGGTCCTCTGAAGGGGTGGGGTGCGGTTGGGTGGGGTTGGGGTGAATGGGATAGGTTTTGAGGCTCGACTGGCGCCCCGTGCCGGCTCCCCCTTCTCCTCTCACCTCTCAATCCTCCCCATCCTCCCCACCATCACCCCCCACTCACTCGAATGGTCCTTTGTTTTGATAATCATCCCCCACTCTCTCCCTCCTCTCTGTGCGCGCAGACACTAGAAGCGCTAACGAGCCATGGGCTGTCCGTGGCCATAGTGGAGGAGACTCTCAGGAGGAATCACTTTTGAGAATTCTCAAAAGTGGAGGACACTCGGGAGGAGTTCTGGCCAGTGAGGAAGGTGGGAGGTTTGGTGGACATGTCTCTGTAAACCCCTTTCCACCATCCCATGATCCTCCCTCATGTGCGTGCATACGCTGGGTGCGCTAGCGAGCCATGGGCTGTCAGTCAGTCGCCATAGTGGAGGAGGAGGTTGCGGACATCTTTTGAAACGCCTGAGCAACCCACTCACTGCACCTTTCTCCCCCCCCCCCCCCTTCCCACGCCCTCCCCACGCCCTCTTCTCCCTCCTGTGCGTGCAGATGCTGGACGCGCTAACGGACCACGGGCTGTCCGTGGCCATAGTGGAGTGGAGGAAGCTACGGACGTCTCGCATGTGGGGGGGAGGTTCGGACCTGTCTGGTGTAAGCCCTCTCACCGTTGTAAAATCCTCTCCACCACCCCATGATCCTCCCTCCTGTGCGTGCAGACGCTGGATGCGCTAACAGACCACGGGCTGTCAGTGGCCATAGTGGAGGAGGCTACGGACGTCTCGCCTGCGGGGGGGCGTACCGGCGGTGCTAGCAAGAAGAAGAAAGACCGCTTTCTAGGAGGGTGCGTGTTTGGGTGGGTGGGAGGGAGGGTTGGTTGGTTGGTTGGTATTTGGGTGGACTCAAAACTCGTTTGTTACTTTTGAGACGCCTCAAAAGACATCTCGCCCGCAGGGGGCCGTACTGGCGGTGCTAGCAAGAAAAAGAAAGACCGCTTCATAGGAGGGAAAGACCGCTTCCTAGGAGGGAAAGACCGCTTCCTAGGAGGGTGCGTGGGTGGGTGGGTTGGAGGGTGAGTGGGTTGGCCTTTGGGTGGACTCAAAATCGTGTGCGGGTGCGTGGGTGAGTGTGTGTGGTGGGTGGGTGAACAGGAGAGGAGGGTGAGAGGTTTTTGGAGGCTTCCTCACTCTGCTGCTGTGTGCTCCCTCCCCTCCCCTCTCCCCCCGTCCCCATGCCGTGTCCCTTCCCATCCCCTCCCGTCCCCTTCCCTTCCCATCCCCTCCCGTCCCCTTCCCTCCCCTCCCCTCCCGTCCCCTTCCTCCCCACCCCGCACGCACATGCTCTCTCCCAACGCCAGCCACGCGCACCCCGGCAGCCCATACGTGTACGGCTTGGCGCGCAGCAACATGGAGATTGAGTTCCCTGAGCCGCGGCCCATCTTGGGCATCGCGCGCACGAGTGCGAGTGGGTACACGGTGGTGAGCGCGTGGGAGATGACCCAGTCCTTCTGTGTCGAAACGCAACTCACGGAGGAGGCTGCTGTCGCCAAGCTGAGAGCCAGTGGGTGTCATCGCTGCTTCGTGCACTCCTCTGTTACTGGTGCGTGCTTGGGGGTGGGGTGGGGTGGGGGGTAAGGGGTTGGGGGGTGGGTGCCTGGGGGGGTGGGTGCCTGGGGGGGTGGGTGCCTGGGGGGGTGGGTGCCTGGGGGGGTGGGTGTTTTGGGGTTGGTTTGCCTTGGGGAGTGGGTCCCTTGGGGTGGTGGTGGGGTTGGTGCACGTGCAGCTGGTTTATTAGAGTTTCCAAAGAACCAGTTTGGTGCTTTCTTCTGGCCTATTTCTCTCATCCTTTGTCAGTGTGTCAGTTGGTCCTTTCTCCTGGTTCTTGTTCCTAGTAACACCCCCACCCCCCCCCCCCCCCTCCCCCCTCCCTGCATAAACCACCAATAACTCTCGTCTTCCTTCTCCCACCAACCCCTTCTTCCCACCATCCTTTTCCCCACGCCTCCTTTCCCCCACGCCTCCCCCTTTCCACGCCTGCTCTCTCTCTCCCTCTCGCTCCGCGGCTTGTACGGGGAGCAGATGGAGGGGGGTGGAGGGACCATGGGGCAGGGGGGATGCTGTTCTCCGAGTGTGTGGCCAAGGGGTATGACAAATACGAGGGCGACCATGTAAAGAGCCTCCTCAATAAGGTGACGCTCTAAGAGAGGGATGGCATGTGTTTGACGCCAAGGGGTATGACAAATACGAGGGCGACCATGTCAACAGCCTGCTCAATAAGGTGACCTTTCAAGAGTGCGGGGAGGGGAGGGGAAGGGGGTACTGAGAAGGGAGTTTTGATGGGACGGGGGGGAGGGGGGGATGAGGGGGGGGGGTGAGGTGGTGGGTTGTCTAGTTGTGGGGTAAAGGCTTTGACATGTACAGAAGGATTCAGTCAGAAACTGACTGAATGAGGTGACGTGCTGAAAGAGTGGCTTTTTTTTTTTTTTTTTTTTTTTTTTTTTTTTTTTTTTTTTTTTTTTCCGCTGTACTGTATATGTTGACAGCAGGGCAGTGGAACTCACGTGTGCAACTAATATTGTTTGCCCAATCTGCCCCTCGGACCAACCCGTTCAGCCCTCTCCCCGCCCATATACCCCACTGTCTCCATGCAATACGCCGCACTGCACCTCATGTCACCACTTTCACCTCATGTCACCACTTTCACCTCATGTCACCACTTTCACCTCATGCCGCCACTTTCACCTCATGTCACCACTTTCACCTCATGTCACCACTTTCACCTCATGTCACCACCTTTCACTTCATTGCACCTCATTTGACCGTGCAAACATCAGGTACGAGATCTGTACGACCTGGGTGCAGAGTCGACCTTCCAGGAGCTGATCCTGCCACCCCCCGACTCCCCCCTCGACCGCTCTACGTCTCCACTGCCTCCCAGATAGGTCTGTGCCACGTCTGCACACAGTGCAATGTAAGCACCATGCCACGTCTGCACCATGCCACGTCTGCACTATGCATGCCATGTGTTGACGTGTTCGTTTTCTCTCCCTTTGTTGCGGTATGACGGCTCTCTCTCCCTACCGTAGCATTGACACAGGTATCTCAGTCATCACATCATACATACAGCATGTGTTGCTAGCTATCCCGCTCTAGGTCGCTGCTGACTTTTGAGACGTCACAAAAGTCTCTCCCTACCGTAGCATTGACACAGGTATCTCAGTCATCACATCACATCATACATACAGCACGTGTTGTGTTGCTAGCTATCCCGCTGGTCGCTGCTGCTCTGTCGTCAGCACTCTTCTCCCGTTGTCCCCATCCCCCATTCCCATTTCTTCTTCCCACGCTCCCATGCCCCCACTCGCCACACGCTCCCCACGATCTGCACTCTCCCCTCTTCTCTGCGTGGGCCAATGGCAGGCGTTTTGCCGACGCAGGGAGTGTTGAGTCCGCCTCAAACATTTTTTTTTTATTTTTGACTTTTTCTTAGTCAATTAGAAAATCCACCTCGTCTTCCCTCCTTTCCTCCCTGTCCCTCATCCCCCTGTGCCGAGTGCAGGCATGTTACCAGCACAGGGAGTGCCGAGGCTTCCTGCCCTGCCTCACCCACCATCTGCTCCCAGAGACTATGCAGTGGGCCTCTCTCCAGTCTAGACTTTTGAGTTTATTTTTGAGACCTCTCGAGCTTACTTTTGAGACTTCTCAAAAGTAAACTCAACATAGTGGTTGCCTCCCTCCAGTCTAGACGTTTAAGTCGACTCAAAGGTCACCTCGCCCCTACCTTTCCCCCCCCCAATCCTCCCCCCCCCCCTCTCTCCCCTTCCTCCTGTACCAACGGCAGGCATTTTACCGACGCGAGGAGTGCCGAGTCTTCCCCACCGACTGCTTCCAGACAATGCAGGCCTCTCTGTGTGCCTTGCCTACCTGCGCTCGCTGCTGCTCAGCCCGCCGCCTCCTCACGTCGCCACCAGCATCCAAGGTGAGCGAGCGAGCGCCTTGTGGTCTTCAGATCCGATCCCCTTGCTTTGAGATGAGACGTGTACGTAGACAACTTTTGGGACCAGCGTCGCCACCAGCATTCAAGGTGAGCTCCTGAGCGCCTTGAGGTCTTCAGGTCCCTTAATGCTTCAACATAAAATCCGCGTGTGAGTGGACAACTTCTCGAGACGTCTTAAAAGTTGCCACCAGCATCCATGGTGCGCGCCTTGAGGTCTTCAAATCCCCTTTCTTGCTTTCTCCTCACCCCTCTCCTCACCCCTCTCCTCACCCCTCTCCTCACCCCTCTCCTCACCCTTTCCACCACCCTCCGATCCACACATTCTCAACCCAGGTTTCGCACCTTTCTCCTGCACCGCCTTTCTCTCCAACGCCACCCTCTGTTGCCCCTCGCTTCCCATCCCGCCTATCCCCCTATCGCCCGCTCTTCCTCCCGCCATCCCCCTTTCACCGCACCACCATCGCTCCTCCCACCCACTTTCTCCCCCCCCCCCCCACTTTTTCATGCTTGACCCGCACAGATGCGTGCCGCCGAATGTATCACCTGCCCGTGCTGCCCGAGTTCCTCTGTGTGCCGCCCTCGCGCCTGGTGAAGCTCATCTCAGCAGAGGAAACAACCTCCACAGAGCTGCTCCGAGTGCGCGCGCTCGCTACAAACCTTCCTGGAAATGCTGCAGGATGCGGGTCCTACCAACAGGAGGAGCAGCAACAACAGGAACAACAGGAACAACAGCAGCAGCAGCAGCGGTGGCAGTGGCAGTGGCAGTGGCAGTGGTTTGAGCGGCAGTGTGGTGAGGGAAGGGGGGCTGAGGCAGCTGGCTCTGGATCTGCTGGTGCCCACGCAATTCGTGTGTGGCCTGCCTCTCCACGTCGACACACTGGTGAGCCACACCACACACACATACTGCGTTAGGCGCCTCAGTTTCTTTTTGGGCGCCTTGAATGAAAACTCTTAGGCGCCCCATAACCTGTCTGTACCGGTGCCTATTGTTGAGTCGACTCAAAAATAGACTCTTAGGCGCCCCATAACCTGTCTGTACCGGTGCCCACGCAACTGGCATGTGGTGTGTTGTGTCACTCCGCGTCGACACACTGGTGAGTGAGTCATGTCACACTAGCATCACCAGGTAAAGGAACGGAGGACGGAAGCAACACGGCAAGAGCTTGTTGGTTGTTCAGAAGCGTGGGTTGGGAGAGCTGCTTCGGTTTAGAGGAGAGGACTGATTGGCAAGTGGATTGCTGGGGGGCAACAAGATGGTGGCGAAGAGGTGGACCGTGGAAGGGGAGTGGCCTGTTTGAACGGATTGAGAAATCCTTGTGGACGCCCACCATATCTGTTCCTCTCCTCCTCCGTCCCACCCACCCTCCCTTCCTCCCTCCCTCCTTCCCTCCCTCCCTCTCCCTCCTCCCACCCTCCCTCCCTCCCTCCCTCACTCACTCCCTCCCCTCCCCTCCCTCCCTCCCTCCCTCCCTCCTCCCCCCCCCTCCCTCCCCCCTCCCTCCCTCCCTCCCTCCCTCCCTCCCTCCCTCCCTCCCTCCCTCCCTCCCTCCCTCCCTCCCTCCCTCCCTCTCTCCTTTCCGCGGTTCAAACATCAGGCACGGGATTGTGAGACGATATGTGCAATGGTGAGCAACGTGTTGCTGGATGACACTGCCCGCTTGATGGACCCACCAGCACCTGCATCTGCACCTGCTGCTGGGCTAGTGGAGGGAGCACAAGGTGAAGAGGAGGAGGAAGAGGAGGAGGAGCTGAATGGGGAGGTGGCCCGGAGAATTTCTGGGATGCAGCAACAGCAGCAGCAGTTTGGAGTGGTGGGGGCGAAGGGAGGAGCAGCGGGATGGAAAGCGGAGGAGGAAGGGGAGGACGGAGGGGACAGGGGGTTGGCGATTAGTGGGAGTGAATTTGAGGCGATGGAAGATTTTTTTGAGGAGATGGAGGCGCGGTGGAGGGGTCGAGTGCGGTACGAGCACATACAGGCGGAGTGCGAGAAGGTGGCCAGGGCTGCAGAGCGGTACAATGAAGTGGTAAGCTGTGGGGGTTCCGTGTTCCGTGCTTTACTTCACTTCCCCTTTCCTCTTCTTCCTCTCTCTCTTCAGTTGCCTCCTCTTGTTATATTCCCCCTCTCTCGCTTCCCCTTCCTCCTTTCTCTGCACACTTCTGTTCTCTCATCCTCTTCCTTCCCTGTTGCAACCCTCTTTGTGCAAAATAGTATCTTCTACTGTTTTTTATTTCTTTCTTTCTTTCTTTCTTTTCTTTTATTTCTTTTCTGGGCGTCTCAAAAGCACAACCTTTTGCTCTCCGCACCACCTCCTCTTTTCCTTTTTTCCCTGTCCTTCCCTGCCTCGCCCCATGCACCACCCACACCAGGTGAAGCAGGTTCTGATGCCGTTTGTCAACCGCAGTCGCAGCCTCTCCCCACACTCTTCCTCTTCCCTTACTGTTTCCCTCTTCGCCCGATCCCTCTGCCTCCCCCATTGCACCACACCCGCCAGGTGAAGCAAGATCTGATGCCCTTTGTCATCCGCAGTCGCAGCCTCTCCCCACGCACCTCCTTCGCAGCGGCCAAAAAAGTGGAGATAGCAGCGTACCGAGACTACGGGGTGCTGCTCAAAGGGACCCGCGCCAAGGCATTGGTGCGTGCATGTATTGTATTCGGCCCTCGAGAGGGTATTGAGAGGGTGATGAGAGGGTGATGAGAGGGTGATGAGAGGGTGGTACAGAGGGTGGTGAGTTTTGAGACGTCTCAAAAGTGGAGATAGCACCACACCGAGACTATGGGTTGTTGCTCAAAGGGACCCGCGCCAAGGCATTGGTGCGTGCGCAATGAGTCTGCTTTTGAGTCGACTCAAAAACTCCTCCAGTGCAGCGCACAGGGGAGTGACGATAGCAGCGTACCGAGACTACAGGGTGCTGCTCAAAGGGACCCTCGCCAAGGCATTGGTGCGTGCGTGCGTGTATTGTATTCGGCCCTTGAGAGGGTGATGAGAGGGAGTTGAGAGGGTGATGAGAGGGTGCTTTCTGAGGATTCGGGTAAACGACGGTGCGTGCTTGTGACTTTTGAGACGCTTCAAAGGTCGCTACGGGACCACTGCTTGCTGTTCAAGGGGAACCGAGCCATCCCCCTCCTCCCATCCCCCGATCCGCCCCCTCGTCCTCCCATGCCCTCCTTCGTGTGCAGGTGAGCGCGCAAGACCCCAGCGACCCCCTGCAAGCGCTGGTGCAGAAGCTGGTGCCGGCGTCGGTGGATAGCAAGGGCAAGAAGGTGGGCGACGGCTGGTACTCCACTCATGACGTCGATGAAGCGCTTTCCGAGTAAGATCTCCTTCTGACTATTGCTCTTACTGTTGCCCTGGAGGGCGGGGTTTGGGGTAGGGGGAGGAGAGCTGGTTAGTAGTAGCAGTCAAGTCAAGATGGCTGGCGACTGTTGGGGGAGCTGCTTTGTACTCCATCCATTCATCCCGTTGACGACTTTTGAGGCGCCTCAAAAGGGGAGCTGCTTTGTACTCCATCCATTCATCCCGTTGACGAAGCTCTTTCCGGGTACGGTTTGTTTGTTGGTACTAACGTGGCGTGGACGGATGGGTTGTGGGTTTCGGGGGAGTTTGGTTTGTAGCAGTCAACTCAAGACGGCTGGTGGTAAGTACTCCATTTGCTCGTGCCTTCGACGAATCTCTTTCTGGGTATGGTTTGTTTGTTGGTATCACCCTCGATGGGGTGTGGGTTTGGGGGGGAGTGGTTGTGCAGTGCAGTCAGCTCAAACGGCTGGTGCTCCATTCCATGCCTGCTGTTGATAAAGCACTTACCGGATGGGTGCTGGGTTGGGGGAGTTGCTTTGCTGTCAATTCCAGACGGCTCGAACTCCACTGAGTGTGGTTTCCTTACTGAGATGAAGCTCTTACTGACTGTGGTTTCCTACTGAGATGAAGCTCTTACTGACTGTGGTTTCCTACTGAGATGAAGCCCTTCCCTCTCCTCCTCTCCTCAGGTACAAGGACGCGGTAGCAGCAGTGCACTTGGCGGTCGTGGCAGTGCTACTGCTGCTCTCGCATGAGCCACAGCCGTACCTCAGCACCATCGTGGCTTCTCCTCCCATTTCTATCTCCCCACCCTTCCACAACCTTCCCCCTCCCCTCTCCCCAGGTACAAGGACGCGGTAGCAGCAGCACACTCGGCAGTGGTGGCATGGCAGCGCTACAGAAGCTCTCTCGGGAGCTTCAGCCATACCTCAGCAGCATCGTGGCTTCTCCTCCCATTTCTCTTCCCGCACCTTCCCCCACCCTTCCCCGCCCTTCCCTCTCCCCTCTCCCCAGGTACAAGGACGCAGTAGCAGAAGCACACTCGGCGGTGGTGGCAGCGCTGCAGCAGCTGTCCCGTGAGCTGCAGTCGTACCTCAACAGCATCGTGGCTGTTGCTAACTTCGGCATCGTCGCCCGCACCCTTGACGGGCACGTCAGGTAGGTGGGGCATGCTTGTGAGACTGCTCCGCTGAAACAATCGAGTCTTGAGCTGGCTCAAAAGGAACAATTGTCTCGCCCTCCTCGCCCTCCTCGCCCTCCTCGCCCTCGTTGCCCTCGCTGCTACTGCCCTTGTTTGCATCTACTTCCCACAGTCGGTCATTCTCTCCCCACCCCTACCATACCATACCATACCATACCATACCATCTGCTCGCCCCCACTTCCAGGTGCTGCTCTCATCGTGGCTGGATCTTTCCCACGCTCGCCCCACCACCACCACCATCAACATCACCAGCGGCATCAAACAACCAGGAGCACCACCATGCACAGCACCACCATGCACAGCACCACACTCTCTCCCACGCCGTCACCCCCGCCACTCCGCACACCACCGCCAACCTCCCTCCCTCTTCCATCTCCCCTAAAACCCTCCTTCTCGAAGGCCTAGTTCCCTACTGGCTGGACAACACGCCCGCCTCCCCCGCGGTCCCCAACACGGTCGCCCTCTCCTCGCTCGCGCTCCTCACGGGCCCGAACGGCGGGGGCAAGTCGTCTCTGCTGCGGTCGGTGTGTGCGGCGGCGCTGCTGGCGTCGTGTGGGCTGATGGTGCCGTGTGTGGGGTCGGCGCACGTGCCGCGGTTTGACGCCATTGTGCTGCGCATGATGCCCGCTGATAGCCCCTCCGATGCCAAAAGCTCGTTCCAGGTGAGCAGAGGGACAGAGAGGGGGGAGGGAGGGAAGTGAGGAAGGGGGAGGGGGAAGGGAGGAGGTGAAGGGGTTGGAGGAGGGGAAGGGGAGGGAGGTGGGGAAGGAGGGGAGGAAGGGAGGTTAGGGAGGGGGATTCAAGCATCCCTGGGCACGTGCCTTGGTGTGTGCGGCGTCCCTGCCTGCTGGCGTCGTGTGGGCTGATGGTGCCATGCGTGGGGTCGGCGCACGTGCCACGGTTTGACGCCATTGTGCTGCGCATGATGCCCGCTGATAGCCCCTCCGATGCCAAAAGCTCCTTCTAGGTGAGTGAAGGTGGTGGTAGTGATTGGGACCAAGGGGTGGTTTAGCAAGGGGAACAGGGAAGGGGAAGGGAGGAGGGGGAAGGGAGGAGGGGGAAGGGAGGAGGGGGAAGGGGGGGGGTGGAGATTTGAGGGGGACGGAGGGGAGAGAAGAGGGGGACGGGGAGGAAGGGAAGGAAAAGGGAGGTTAGGGGGTTTGACGCCATTGTGCTGCGCATGATGCCTGCTGATAGCCCCTCCGATGCCAAGAGCTCATTCCAGGTAAGTGGAGGTGGAAAGGGGGGGTTATGAGGGCTGGGGTATGGTGGTTTGGGAAGGGGAACGGGGAGCAGGAAGGGAGGAGGGGGAGGGAGGGAAGAGAGGAGGAGCAAAGGGGGGAGGGGGAGGGGGGTTTCAATCATATCCGCGCACATGCCGCAGTGTGTGCGGTGGCGCTGCTGGTGTCGTGTTGGCTGATGGTGCCGTGTGTGTGAGGGCTATCCATCGCCAGAACCCAAACAGCAGAGGAGCTCTGTAGTGTTGGAGATGGAGCTATGCAGCTTAACCCAGCAAACGCCTCCTCACTCCCCACTCGTCCCTACCTACCCTCTCCCCCCATCCCCCCCACCCTCTCCCCTCCTTCCCGCGGATGGAGATGGTGCAGCTGCGGGGCATAACACAGGACGCCTCCCCGCGCTCTCTAGTGCTCCTGCCCTGGACGAGCTCTGCAAGGGCACCGAGCCCGACAAGGGCGCATGCCATGCCTCGTGGCCGCTGCTCTCAGTAGGAGTTAGTTGGTGGGACCTGCACAGCATACCCCCCAGGTCCCAGGGTCATGGCTCCGCACCTCTGCCTCCCAGTTCCCCACTCCCAATCCAATCAACCCCTGCCTCCAATCCCCCGTCCCGTCCCGCGTCCCCCCGTTCGCGCCCTTCTCCCCTCCTCCCCTTCTCCCACAGATGGAGATGATGGAGCTGCGCAGCATAACACAGGACGCATCCCCGCGCTCTCTTGTCCTCCTGGACGAGCTCTGCAAGGGCACCGAGCCCGACAAGGGCGCATGCCTTGTGGCCTCTGCTCTTGAGTTCCTGGACCAGTCGCGGTGCGTGGGCGTGCTCTCCACGCACTTCCACCGCGTGCTCGACCTGCCACTGCAGCTGCATGGGGTGGTGCGCCTGTCCATGGGCACGCGGAGGAGGCCAGGGGATGGGGGAATGGAGCCCACATGGCGGGTCACTCAGGGCGAATGCCGGTGAGTTCTGACTGGAGTTGACTCGGGTTGACTTGGGCTGAGTGAGTCGAGTTTGCGTGAGTCAGGTTGACTCGGGTTGACTTGAGTTGAGCCTGCTTGAAGCAGGTGGACTTTCCTCAGGAGGTTCTCTTTGATTGAAAGGTAGGGCTGTGAGAAATTTGAACCGTCCAGATGCAGTGAACCTGTGAGGCTGCTCAGAGAAAGTGCCGGCGAGGTCTGTTCTGGCCTGCTATCTATCTGCACTCTCCTGACCAGGCCAGGTGGACTCTCCCCAGCGGGCTGCTATCCCCAGTGGACCAGGTGGACCAGAGGGCAGATTATAGGCACTTTCTGGCCTGCTATCTGCGCTCTGCTGGCTGGGGGCTGGCTCTGAGGCTCATTTATTCATTCATTCATTCATTCATTCATTCATTCATAGCCAGCCGAGGGCGTATGTGCGCCAGGGAGTGCCGGCGAGTACAAGTGAGATGAGGGGCTGCGGTTCATACCCACAGCATGTAATGCAACTGAGGGAGGGGGCTTGCCTGCAGCGGTGGTGGACAGCGCTGCTTCCCAGCTGCTGCTCCCTTGAGGCACCTCAAACTCCCGCTATCCGCCCCTCTGCTTCCCTCTACCCCCTCCCTCCCCCCTGCAGTGACAGCCTGGCGTTCGAAGTGGCAGTGAGGGAGGGGGCGTGCCTGCAGCGGTGGTGGACAGCGCTGCTCTGCTGCTGCTCTTTTGAGGCACCTCAAAACTCGCCCTCTGCCCCCTCTGCCCCCTCTGCCCCCCTCCCTCCCCCCCTGCAGTGACAGCCTGGCGTTCGAGGTGGCAGTGAGGGAGGGGGCGTGCCAGCAGCACTGGCGGACCACGCTGCAGTGCTGCGAAAGCACTTCTGAGGCGCCTCTAAACTCCCCCTCTGCCCACCTCTGCCCACCACCGCCCGCCTCTGCCATCTCTGCCCCCCGTCTGGTCGCTTCTCTCCCTCCTGCAGTGACAGCCTGGCGTTCGAGGTGGCAGTGAGGGAGGGTGTGCCGACACCAGTGGTGGACCGTGCTGCTGTGCTGCTGGAGCACCTGCAGCGACACGAGGCTCAGCTGCGACACACACATGATATCCTGGCTCTGCAGCAGCAGCAGCAGCAGCAGCAACAAGAGGAGGAGGAGGGGAGGACAGGGAAGAGATTGCCTATGCCACGGGATGCAACGCAAACTAGTGTCACGGGCAGTGGCAGTGGGAATGGGGCAGCGGTGGCTGCTCCTGCTTCTGTGCCCATTCAAGCGGTTGGGGGTGGTGCTGGTGGGGGGATGCATGAGATTGGGTTTGGTGGTAATGATGTGGCAGGTTGGGGGCAGCATGAATCAGCATGGAAAGCGAGTGGAGGAGAGTACCTGAAAGTCGAAGGAGAAATTGTAGGAGAGGAACAGTGGGAAAAGGAAGAGGAGGAGGAGGAGGAAGAGGAGGATTTGGATGGTAGAATTGTTCGACGAAAAGTAGGAGCGAGAGGAGGAGGAGGAGGAGGAGGAAGTGTTTCAAATGGTATGGGAGTGAGAGGTTTGCGTAGCGGCGTCACTCGTGCCCGTGCATTCATGGCCATAAGCGATGCAGTGCGGATGTTCGAAAATGCAACTGCAGAGGCAGTAGCGATGCAGGATGCAGGATTAGCACAGGAGCAAGGACCGTTGCTGGGTATCAACGGGGGTTCAAGCACGGAGGTCACTGGTGGAGAGAAAGGGCAGAGTCTTCTTGCTGCTGCTGGGGGTGGGGGAGATGGGGTTGCACGGGAAGGGGTGCGAGCGGTGGTGGTGATGGGGATGTACATGCCGTCTGCGTCGGTGGCTAACTACCAGTCGTTTCTGTACCTCGTGTGCCGCCCCGATGGGAGGTTCTACGTGGGTGAGGTGCGTTGGTGCATTCGTGGGTGGGTGGGTGCGTGGGTGGGTGGGTGGGTGGATGGGTGGGTGGGTGCCTTCGCGCTTCTTCTCTGTTCTCGTTCTCTCTCTCTCCTCCGACGAACCAGATATGGGAGCGCATAAAGCATCACTGGGCGCCGGACAAGCTGCTGCTGCGAGTAATCATTAGTCATCATCCCCGCTCCCAGCAAGAGTGCCCCCACACTCCCCTATCCCATCCGCTCCACTCCTCCTTCGGACCCCCCTCTTTCCCCCGACCGTTGTCTCGTGCAAACTCAACTCCACATCATCCCTTTCCCCGTGCTCCTTCTTCGTGCTCCTTCCCCACGTTCATTCCCCACGCTCATTCTCGACCCTCCTTCCCCATCCCCCTCCCCCCCGCCACGCTCCTCCCCAGACGGACGAGATAACACTGCGCATACAGACGCACCGGAAGAAGTACGCCAGCACGCCAATAGCCATCATCCCCGTGCTCAACAAGAGCGAGGGACGATTCATCGAGACGCACGTGATCAAGCGCCTGAGGGACGCGGGCGTGCCGCTTTGGAACCAGGCGGACCAGTACCACAAACACTTCGGCAGCTCCGGCGCCCCCCCCCCGCCGCCCCTCCTTCCCCCCGCCCTTCTGAGGCGGAAGAAGGGGGGGGTGGAGCAAGGAAGCGGAGGGCAGGGAGACACGCACTGTGTACCGGACACGAGGTTCGGAGGTTGGGTGGCTGGGGGCTGGGTGGTGGTATGAGCGGAAGGGGCATGAAAGGAGGGGGAAAGGGAGTGAGGGGGGAGGGGTGTTGGGACAAGCAACTGGAGACGCGGGTTAAGGCCTCTGGGCTTTTAGGGGGAGGTGGGGCAGGCAAGGGCTCTACTCCGACGGTGATATTCCCATCGAACTACAAGAAACCGTTCCGGAAGGCCATGCAGGCTGGCAGCGCGCTTCATTCCGGCAGAGACTCATGTGATGGCCGCGCGGTTGATTGACGCAGGCATGCCCGCTTACGAATGAGGCAGACCAACACCACCACCACTTTGGCAGCCCCCCCCCCCCCCCCCCCCCCCCCCCCCCCCCCCCCCCCCCCCCGCCCCCCGCCAGCCCGCCCCTCGTTCCCTCGGCCCTTGCGAGGGGTTGGGGGTGGTTTTGAAGTGGGAGGAGGAAGGGGGTTGGAGAAAGGGAGTGGAGGGTAGGGACTGCGGAGCTATGTGGATTTTACTTTTGAGAATTCTTAGGAGCTGAGCTTGTAGTGGGCAGGATTCATAGGGGTTGGTCAGGGCCTGTGTTGGGGAGGGTGGGCTGAGCTTGTGGGGAAGACGTGCATAGCATAGCGTGAAGGACGTGACGTGACTGGCTTCGCCTCTTTGGCAGCGCCAGTGCCCCCGGCCCCCGGCCTGCCCCGCGCCCCCGCTGGTCTGAGGGTTGGGGTCTTACCGGTACTCCGTAAACTGTCCGGCTTTCTTCTAGCTTGTATGGTACTGTATTGCTTGGAGCATGATAGCCTGTGGTGCTGAGCTGAGCTGAAGCTACCGTACTTCTTAGACCTGGTTTGGTTTTGGAGTGTGCTAGGCTAGCATAGCAAGTGAGCTGTGTGGGTTCATGTTGGTCGCATTCAAGTCAATAGTCCTTCCATTACCCAAGTCAATCGCCGTTCTGTCATTTGTCGCTAGCTGCATTGCTTATGAATTTTTCTGCTAACCTGCACCACTAGCCGACATCAATCAAATCTTGGCTGCATGCATGCATCAAATCTCATGGACAGCCAGCAAGAAACCATGTGCCTAGAAAGTGTGATGATGACTGTAACATGTGATACAGTGCAAATAACTGGTATCAAATCAACACAATGGACTTGCAGTAACTACAATACGCTGTCCCAGTGAAACTATGCTGCTATAGTACACTACAAAAAAAATAAACACTTCACTCCACCCACCCAGGCACAGTACCTGCCTACAGACTCCCTCCTGCCATATCATCCCAATCTCACCTTTTACCCCATTCCCTTCCCACACTTTTACTCCACCAATACCTCCCCGTGGCTTTCAGGCTTTCTCAGCCCCAATAAATATCCATAATCAGTCCTCTAGGGACATTTCTCCTTCAACACACTCACTCACCCCCCTCCCACTCACCACTCCCTAATATCCACCCCCTCCCACCATCACCTCTCTCCCATACTCACACGCTCCCCAACTCGCCCCCATCCCCTTAGCACAGCGTCTTGCACACGGGATTGTGGCACGCAGGGTATTTGAGAATTCTCTAAAATCACCCCGTCCACTTTTGAGTCGACTCAAAATTCAGCACCCTCCATCCAACTTCCACCCCACTGTACCGGTACCTCTCTCGACTAGCACGGTGTCTTGCACACGGGATTGCGGCACGCAGGGTAGTTCACCCCGCCCACCTTACACGTGGGCGGCGGCGGCGTCTTCTTGCAGCACCCCTTCTGCGACCCGGCGGGCGGCGTCGTCGTCTTGGGAATACTTGCCAACAGCCTTCGCCGCCCGCTGCCCGCAGTCGGCAGGTAGTAATTCGCCTCAAACAGGTAGAACTGGTACGGGTTGCGACTGTCGAACGTGGGATTGATGAAAACATACGCGGCGCGGCCGAGCAGGCCCGTGGGGTCGTTGGGGAACATCTTGACGATGACGACGGCGGTGAGCTCGTCTATAGCCATGGTGGAGGTGGAGTCTGACAGGTAGTTCTGCAGGAGAGGCAGGGTTTCGAAATCCAATGCTGCCTGCGAGCGGTCAAACTGATGGGGAGACGAGGAAGACAGGGGAGTCGGGTTGGGAGGGGGAATGGCGATGGGGAGGGGAAAGAGGATCAGAGTGGGACGTAGAGAGGGGGATTGAGCTTGAGCTAAGAAGATGGGGTGTTGGGGGGGATTGTGGGGGGTAAGCATGGGGGAGGAGGGGCGTGAGAGAGCAAGGGAGAAAAAGGGGGATAGGGGAGCGGGGAGAAGAGGAGGGAGGTGAGGTGGGAAGGGGAAACTGAGATGCGAAAGGGTTGAGAAGGGGAAGTCGAGAGGGAAAGGCTGAGGGGGAGGGGAGGGGAAGCAAAGAGGATCAGGTCTAAGGACTATCTGGGCCCTGGGCTCCGTATTCCCACCACACTCAGACTCCCCCTTCCCAACTCCCCCTTCCCAACTCCCCCTTCCCAACTCCCCCTTCCCAACTCCCCCTTCCCAACTCCCCCTTCCCAACTCCCCCTTCCCAACTCCCCCTTCCCAACTCCCCCTTCCCAACTCCCCCTTCCCAACTCCCCCTTCCCAACTCCCCCTTCCCAACTCCCCCTTCCCAACTCCCCCTTCCCAACTCCCCCTTCCCAACTCCCCCTTCCCAACTCCCCCTTCCCAACTCCCCCTTCCCAACTCCCCCTTCCCAACTCCCCCTTCCCAACTCCCCCTTCCCAACTCCCCCTTCCCAACTCCCCCTTCCCAACTCCCCCTTCCCAACTCCCCCTTCCCAACTCCCCCTTCCCAACTCCCCCTTCCCAACTCCCCCTTCCCAACTCCCCCTTCCCAACTCCCCCTTCCCAACTCCCCCTTCCCAACTCCCCCTTCCCAACTCCCCCTTCCCAACTCCCCCTTCCCAACTCCCCCTTCCCAACCCCCCTTCCCAACCCCCCTTCCCAACTCCCCCTTCCCAACTCCCCCTTCCCAACCCCCCCTTCCCAACCCCCCCTTCCCAACCCCCCCTTCCAGTACCCCCTTCCCTTCTCTCCCTTCCCCTCCTCCAATCCCCCTCCTTCCCCCTTCCCCCCTCCCCTCCTCCCCGCTCCCTTCTACCCCCTTCCCCCACGCACCGTGATCGTCACCGTCCCCTGCGGCGGCACCTCAAAATCCGGGTCCTCCCCAATCGCGGCAAAGTCTATCCCCGTTAGAGAGAGACTCGAGACGCCGTCGTTGACGAGCGTCATGACGACGGTTTCGTTGTACTCCGCGGGGTCCGGCGCGGGGCCCCAGATGGAGAGCGCGAAGCCCTGGCGCATGAAGAACGGGGGGAGGGGCGTCTCGTACAGCACGTTGTCGTCGTCCATCGCCAGCGTCTGCGCTATTTCCACGCACAGCGCGCCGAACGCTGCGGAGTGTGGGGAATGGGGGGAACGGGGCGCAAGAGGGGAGGGCGTGTGGGGAGAGGGAGCGGGGAGAGAGGGCGCCGAGGGGAGAGGAGGGAAGGGTTAGGCGGAAGGGTTTCGGGAAGAGGAATGGGGCGCGATGGAAGAGTGGGAGAATGTGGAGGGACGGGAGAACGCGGGCGGCTAGTACAACGGACTATCTGCAACGACGACGACGACGACGACGACGATGGCGAGCTTGCGCCATGTTGTTTAACGACTGCCTGCGACATGGACCACGCCTCGCATCGGACGACGCGACGTCGCACAGCGTGCACGACGATTACTAGCGAGCGACGGAGCGACTCACATGCGACGACGAGACGCGACACCGACATGTGACGACGACGAGCGCGACGGGGACGGCGCGACTCGCACGCGACGGTGCGACTCACATGCGACGTTGGACATGTTGCCGATGAAGAACTTGTTAGCGTTCTCGAAGGTGGTCTCGAGCGACGTGGTGGACTTGAGACACAGCGCCAACACCGAATCCACTCCCGCCTGGTTGGTGGTGGGGGGGCGACGGGGAGAGGGGCAGAGAACGAGCGCGGTGAGGGAAGGAAAGTGGGGAGGAGGGAAGGCGGAGGTGAGCGGACGTGAGGTTCTCTCGAGCGACGTGGTGGACTTGAGACACAACGCCAACACCGAATCCACTCCCGCCTGCCGGGGTGAAAGCGGGGGAGAGAAGAGATGGCGGAGAGAGAACGAACGGTGACGGCGGAAAGGGGGGAGGGGAGCAGCGGGGGGGAAGGGAGTAACAGGAGGATGGTGGGGAAGGGGGAAGACGTGAGCAGAGGAACGGAATAGAAGCTGCCAAAACTCCTGCCAGGAAAATACATGGGTACCTAATGCCATTCCTGGGACGGCTAAACTACTACCGGGGTTGCACCCGCCGCCACCAGGGATCCGTCTCAGGTGCGGACCCATCCCGCGACCCGACGTGCGCCGCGTGAATGGGGGTCCACGTCCCACGACCAGACACCACCGGCACAAGTCTCGCCATTTCATTTCGTGTCGACTCAGCAGACGTCTCGCGCGCGGGGGCATTGCCACCGCCAGCCCGGTTGGGCAACTTACAATCCTGGCCATTCATCGAGTCGGCTCAAGAACCTACCTCGCGTTTGCGTTAAGTTAAGTTACCTCGAGTCCACGCCATCTAATCTCGTGAGGAGCTCCCAGGAAAACAACACGGCATGGCCCACGCGAGCCTACGAGCCTCGGGGCGCGCGCACAACACGTGTGCCGGCCTGTCTAGAGCGCCACGAGCCAACCGCAACGCGAGGAACGCGGAGGTAGAGCGGGCGGCACCACACTAACCCTATCCACTACGCGACCGCTAGGGTTAGCGCGGAACACGTAAAAGAGAGCGCGCTGCGCGGAAGCACTCATCCGCCTTTTGCGCCACCGTCCCAACTTCCTGCGACACCCCCCCGCTCTCATTCCATCTCTCGTTCTCCGTTTCTGTTCCCCTCCTCTATCCGCGCGTGCCAAAACTCCAGCTTTTCGTCCCCCTTCCGCCGCCACTCGCGCACCCCAACTCTGCGCTCTCCGCGCTACCCGCGCCACCCCGCGCTCATTCCGCGCACCTCCTCGTATTCCTAGTTTCCGTCACCCGCAGATTTCTAATCGACTGCAAGGACGGGGGACGTCAGACGGAAAGACTCCGCGCACGGCCGACCAGCACCCGAACGAGTCCGCCGCAAACTCATCTAGAATCCACTGGAATGAGTCGCACCGTCGAGAAGCGCAGTCACCTCGGCTCGGCAAGCACTCGCACTCGCACTCGCACTCGCACTCGCACTCGCATTTGCTCACCCCGACTTTGGCTTTCCGAAGCGTGGGGTCGCGTTGGCACTCCGAGTAAGGCACGTTGTACTTTGCGTTGGTCATGTCGACTGCGCCGCGAACGACGGACAAGTGCGGGAGGAGAACCGATGACAGGAGCGTCACGATGAGCGCGCATGGTGACGGTGCAAAGCGGGATTCTAGCGACGGCGGCCGCGCACGCCGGTTGTGAGGGGCTTTAAGTAATATCATTGTGGGAGGTAGTAAGGTGAGGGGGGAGGAAGGGTGAGTGAAGGGAAGGAGTGGAAGAGGAACTAGTAGGAACTACGACGGATGCTCGCGATTCGCGATATGGCGGTGCAGGAAGGGAGAGTGGACGCGATACTTGTGCGGCGATAACTTTCCACTAACGAACCATCCGACAATTAGTTGGCAGCGCGTTGGCTCGTGCTGGAGGGTGTTGAACAATGCAGCGAGAATTTGATGCACGCAGTTAGGTTTGGGGAGAGTGGAAGAAGCAATCATCTTTGAGTAGGGTCTTTGGTGAATGGAGAGGCAAAGCAAGTCGAGAGAGAGGCGAGAGGAGGGGTGAGGGTCATCGGCAGTCGAACAGAATGGAGGAGCAGCACCTGAAGCAATTGATTTGCTCCAAAGCGGTAGAATCCGGTAATATGAGGTGGAATGGGTTGGCGTGGGTGAATATGCACATCACCCATCTACAGTACAGTCCCATAGTGCTGAACAATCCGTAAGGGCGAAAAGGCGATCCTCCAGTGATGAACTGTACAGCTGTGGCAAGGCAAATGCTTCGGTTCTGCTTGGTTTCCCTGTTTTACACCCGTTTCGAGCCTGTTTTGGCGCCCTTTTTGTCGCGATGTCAGCGTCTGGTGTATCTTGTCTTGTTTGCCAGGCAACACCGTCGAGGTCGGGGTTCAGTTCGGTCAGGCGGGCGCCATAGCTGTCCGATGGTCTTGGCTCGACCGGACGTGTAGTAAGCGGTTGTATTGAGTTTCAATGCGGTCAATAACGTTTCACTGGGATTGACGGGGACTAGTGGAAGATGGAGGAATTTTGGCGAAACTGGAAGGCGGAGGGCGGAGCGGGTAGGGTCGTTATGGTTTGGGGACATTCCCCCCGTTATGTGGTGTTTTGCAAACACACAAGGCAGACGTGAGGCACCTCATGTTTCCAACTCCGTACCGCTAAGCACCAGCCGCAATTTTAAAAGCAGCTGTTGGTGGTCGAAGCTCCGGAAAGTGCCTAATATACTTTTCCTACATAACTGAGCTAGACGACAAAATTGTTCGGTGGGTCAGTCCTCGCTGCAAAATGGTCCACTTTGCTGTGACTGCGTTAGCATCTGTTTCGCTGTCTCCAGAAGACTAGTGAAAAAACAGTCACCACTGAGGGGAATGCACAATATAGCGGTCCGATTCTCAAGAAAAAAAAGGGCAAAAAAATCTAGCTACACATTCTCTAGAAACTGCATAATACAAGAACCTAACATGCCTATCTGAAGAGTATGGGAACGCAGCACCGTATCATCTTCCAGCATGATGAACCAAACGCGTACGACGATTGTCCTGGAGGCATTTACCACTTGATCCTTTGATGTAATCAAACGCAGCACGCGATGGTTGCGGTGCGCTGTTAAGTCATTCAATAATAATCTGACAGTCACCAGCAAGCTTCTCACGACCTCAATACGCTATGATCAGCCGGGGAGTAACACAACACACCACTTTTCCTTCTTCCCCAACTTCCCCAGCTTCCAGTGAGCGTGGCCAAAGCCATGGCAGTGGCATTGGAGAGGTGGTGGCAGGCAGAGGCAGTGGGTGGCAGCAACAGTGGCAGTGGCAGAGGAACCAGCACTGGCCGACAGCAGCTCTCAAGTCATTTCAATGTCGCTCTTGAGGCTGGATGAAGGCAACAGCGACTCGTCCCCCCCTTCCGCATCATCCCTGTGATCCCCCCCAGCAGCACCACCAGCAGCAGCACCACCAGCAGCACCACCAGCACCCGCCGACCCCTCAGCAATGTCAAAATTGGGAACCTCGTATCCACGGTCCCGATAGAACGAGATAACACACTTGAACATCTCAATCCAGATCGTCCCTGCTGCGGAGATCCCGACAACAATCAGCCAATCCAGCGGCGGGATCTCCTGGAAATGCAGCGCGCTGCGGAACCACGACGAGAACGACAGCAGCACGCACAGCCCAGCGGTAACCAGCATCCCCAGCAGCACCATCAGGTTCGAAAACAGCCCCTTGTGGAAGATCGGTTCGGAGGTGGTACGCAGGTGGAAGGTCACAAAGCAGGACGAGATGAGCCAGCCGATGAACGCCACTGTGTGCACGTCACTGTTGTTGCTCGGATCGGTCCGGATGGAGTAGGCGAGAGAGAGGAGCGTGGCGACGGCCGTGGCGATGGCTGCTGAGGCGATGGTGGCGAGGAGAGGGAGGTCGAAGAAGGGGCGCGTGGGCAGGCGCGGGCCGTGCAGCATGACATCGGTGTCGGGGAGCTCGGATGGGTAGAAGAAGAGAGAGGCCGTGCGGAGGAGCACTGTTGAAACAATTAGCTGACAGGGCAGCATGGGGTAGCTGGGGAGGGGAGGGATATGGGGGGGGGGAACGGGGGAGAAGGAAGGGAAGGAAGGTAGGACGGTTTGAGGGATTTGATGTGGAGTGTTGGGGAGGAGAAAGACAGGGAAAGAGGGAAAGAGAGGGAGGTTGACAAAGGTGCGGGTGGGGAGACGCGGGCCGTGCAGCATGACGTCAGCGTCGGGGAGTTCGGATGTGTAGAAGAAGAGAGAGGCCGTGCGGAGGAGCACTGTTCAGATGATTAGCTGGCAGGGCAGCATGGGGTAGCTGGAAAGGGGAGGGAAAGGGGAGACAAAAGGGGGAGGAGGGATAAGGAGGCGAGAAGGGTTTGAGATGGATGTGTGGAGTGTTGGGGAGGAGAAAGACAGGGAAAGAGGGAAAGGGAGGGAGGTCGAAGAAGGGGCGGGTGGGCAGGCGCAGGCTGTGCAGCATGACATCGGCGTCAGCTGCACGGGTAAAAACATGACAACCTACCACGAGCGCAAGCCCAACAATTGCCAGAAACACCACAAGCACAAGCCATAGCCGTTCAGATCAGAGGCGCAGACGGCTGAGAGCCCACCCACCTGAGCCACAGCGTGCCCAGCAGCACCACTAGCGCCAGCCCCAGCTTGCAGCCGAGCTCCAGCGCCAGCCCCTTGCGCACGTTGCTGAGAGCAGCGCGGGCCTCCTCGAGCAGGAAGCGCACGGCGCCAAAGGAGGGGTCGAGCAGCACCACGGACGCTGCATCGCGCACCGCTGCTGGGGCCGGGCCCACCGCTATGCCCACGTCTGCTGCTGCTAACACCGACGCGTCTGTCAGGCCTGGGAGCGAAAGGGTTGGGAGAGAGAAGAGAGGGGTTTGGGAAGCGGTTTGGAGTGAGGTTTGGGGGTAGGAAAATGGTGCGCGGGTGGGAGAGAGGTGCATGGAGAGGGTTTGATGTGAAATGTTCCCCGCACGAAATGATGGATGGGTTTTCTGGATCGAGTTAGGTGCGAGAGGATAATTCTGATTTGTTGGGTGGAGGAAGAAGGTCAGAGAGCGACGGGCTGCATAGCAGTGACTGGAGAGCATTGACCACCGTGCAATGCTCACGGGGTAGCAGCAACCACAACACAAGCGCAAACACACACGATCATCACTGCCCCACACCTTACCTATCCTTTCCTCTCTCCCTCCCCCTCCCTTGTATCAGTGCTCTCTCTCCCCTCTTGCCACCCTCTCCCCACGACCCCGTTTTTTCCCTCACTGCCTCTCCTCTGCAGTTCCCCCTGCCCCTCCCAACTCCCCGGGACCCTCCCCCCACCCCCCATAATCTCCTCACTTGACCCGCAAGCAGCCACGAGCTGGCCATTCATTTGCAAAGCTTCCAGAATGCAGAGCTTATCCGTGGGGGATGCACGTGCCACCACGCTAGTGCCTGCCACCAGAGCCCGCAGCTCCTCGCCTGTGCTCTGAGCTGGCGGGCGCTCCGTGCATGAGATGGCGTCCTGCTGCACCTCCTGCTGCTGCACCTGGTGGGGGGAAGAGGTGGAGGGAGGAATGGATGATGTTGTAGGTGCTTCAGATACCATCAGCAGCAGCAGCAGCAGCAGCAGCAGCAGCAGCAGCAGCAGCAGCGAGTGTTGAAACATATGGAACCACTCTTACCTGATGCGGATAGCAGATGGCAGCCGCTCTTGCCACAGCCACGGCTGTCCCCAGGTGATCCCCAGTCACCAGCACCGGGCGCACCCCCGCAAGGCGGCAGCAGCGCGCAGCAGCAGCGGCGTCCACGCGCGTGGGGTCGGAGAGAGCAACGAGGCCGAGGAAGGTGCAGTCAGCGATGGAGGAGACGAGGGCCGTGCGGGAGGAGGAATGGCGGGGGCTGGAGTGATCAGCTGTGCTGCCAGATGCATAGCCCACTAGCGTGTAGCCTGGGGTGGGGGGAGGAGAGGGGAAAGGGGTGTGGGAGACCCCCAGCGAGGGCAGGGACGGGGGCAGGGAGAGGAGGGGGGTAAGGCCGGGAAGTTGTTTAGAAGGAGAGGGTGTTTGGAGGAAGAGAGCAACGAGGCCGAGGAAGGTGCAGTCAGCGATGGAGGAGATGAGCGCCGTGCGGGACGAGGAATGGCGGGGGCTGGAGTGATCAGCTGTGCTGCCAGATGCATAGCCCACTAGCGTGTAGCCTGGGGTTGCGGTGGGAGGGGAGGGAGCAGGGTATCGGGGAGGGAGGTGCAGGGGTGGATGAGATGAGATCGTGTGCGATGTGCGACAACTGAAAGGGGGCTCATGTGCAATCGGCTATGCTGCCCGACGCATACCCCACTAGCGCATAGCCTGGGGTGTGGGGAAAGGGGAAGGGGAAGGGGAAGGCGGAAGGGTAAGGGGGAAGGGGAAGGCGGAAGGGTAAGGGGGGGAAGGGGGAAGGGGAAGGGAAGGGAAGGGGGAAGGGGAGGGGGGAAAGGGAAGGGGGAAGGGGAAGGGGGAAGGGGAAGGGTGAAGGGGAAGGGGAAGGGTGAAGGGGAAGGGGAAGGGGAAGGGGAAGGGGAAGGGGAAGGGGAAGGGGAAGGGGAAGGGGAAGGGGAAGGGGAAGGGGAAGGGGAAGGGGAAGGGGAAGGGGAAGGGGAAGGGGGAAAGGAAGGGGGAAGGGGAAAGGGGAAGGGGAAGGGGGAAGGGGAAGGGGGAAGGGGAAGGGGGAAGGGGAAGGGGAAAGGGGAAGGGGGAAGGGAATGGGGGAAGGGGGAAGGGGGAAGGGGGAAGGGGGAAGGGGGAAGGGGGAAGGGGGAAGGGGGAAGGGGAAGGGGAAAGGGGAAGGGGGAAGGGGAAGGGGGAAGGGGAAGGGGAAAGGGGAAGGGGGAAGGGAATGGGGGAAGGGGGAAGGGGAAGGGGGAAGGGGAAGGGGGAAGGGGAAGGGGGAAGGGGAAGGGGGAAAGGGAAGGGGAAGGGAAAGGGGGAAGGAAGCATGGAGCAGCACTCACCAACTCACCCACCAACTCACCCACCAACTCACCCACCAACCAACCCACCAACCCACCCACCAACCCACCCACCGATCCACCCACCGATCCACCCACCGATCCACCCACCAACCCACCCACCAATCCACCCACCAACCCACCCACCCACCCACCCCTTGTGGGCCAGTGAGGATGATCCATCCACCATACCTTGGTCGGCGAGCTCCTGAATACGTTTGAGCAGAGCGGGGCGCAGGGAAGAGATGGACTCGGGCTCGCCATGGCACAGCACGCTGCCGCACTGCTCCACCAGCACCTCTGGCGGGCCCCGCACGTACACCCTCTCACACACCTCCCCCTCTCCCCACCACCACCAGCGCCACCGCCTCTTGCTGCTGCTGTTGTTCCCGCTGTGTCGCCTGCCTCTGTCGCTGCACCGTTTTGTGCTGCTGCCCTGCGGCCAGGTAAACGGGGAGAGACGGGAAAACGGGTGGCACTGGCAGGTTAGGACGGTAGATGGATTTGTTGGGGGGGAAGGAAACTAGTGGGGATTGGCTGGATGGAGGAAGCGGGTTGGAAAAAGGGTCTACCTTAGACACAGACAGGCATCTGCACAAGACGGACTTTTAGGTCGTCGACTTGAATGGAAAGGGCAAGAGTGACTGAAGCGTTTATCGACACGACACGCCCCTCTCCGACACCCAGTGTACAGCGATGGAGTGAAAGAGCACTAGGAGAAGAGGCCTTGTGAGGCGCCTCAAAAGTTTACAGCGATGGAGTGAAAGAGCACTAGGAGAAGAGGCCTTGTGAGGCGCCTCAAAAGTTTACAGCGATGGAGTGAAAGAGCACTAGGAGAAGAGGCCTTGTGAGGCGCCTCAAAAGTTTACAGCGATGGAGTGAAAGAGCACTAGGAGAAGAGGCCTTGTGAGGCGCCTCAAAAGTTTACAGCGATGGAGTGAAAGAGCACTAGGAGAAGAGGCCTTGTGAGGCGCCTCAAAAGTTTACAGCGATGGAGTGAAAGAGCACTAGGAGAAGAGGCCTTGTGAGGCGCCTCAAAAGTTTACAGCGATGGAGTGAAAGAGCACTAGGAGAAGAGGCATCAGCAGTAAAGAGGTGAAAATAAAGCATGGTAGGTAAAGGGATAGGTAAAAAGGTAGGTAAAGGGGTAGGTAAAGGGGTAGGTAAAGGGGTAGGCAAGGGATAGGCAATGCTGCTCAGGTTTCACACAGCGTACCGTCTCCCCAGCGCCAGCAGCTTCTGCTGCACTGATTTTCCCCGCTTCGACGCTGCAGCCGCCACACCCCCTTCTGCAACCGCCACCGGCACATTGGCATACGTTCTCGTGGCACACTTGAGCACTGCATCATACGGGGTATCCGCCAGCCTATCCGCAGCAGCCTTGGCCTCATAGCATCGCCGCAGCATGTCGTGCAACGGTCGGAGGCCTCTCGTGGACGCTACAGCTGCTGCTGCCGCTGCTACTGCCGCCTCTTCCTCCCCTTCCAGCCCCTCGTACGGGAGGCTTGTTAGCACTGACGGCCCGCCGACTGCTGCGAGGATCGCCCAATCGAGCGTGTCCACGTGGCCTCCTCTGGTTGCCACGTCAGCAGTGCGCACACCTCCTGCTGCGCCTCCTGCCGATGCGACGCCTTTGGGGCCAGTAGACGAAACAGAGCCGCCTTCCAAGAGAGACTCGCTCTGCTCCTCGCTCTCCCCAATGTCAATCTGCAACGCCGCTCCGGCTCCTGCGTCCCTTGCCTCTTTCGCCACTCGTGCAAGGAACTCCGCTTCTGACGACGGCGACGATGCCCCATCTGCTGCACCCAACGTTGACCCAGCTGCTCCGCCATCTGCTGCCCCCCCGCCTGCTAACCCACCAGCAGAAGACCCAGCAGCAGCAGCAGCAGCAGCAGCACTGAGAGAGGACGAGCTCCCCGTGCTACTACTGGTACCTCTCCGTCTCTTCATCCCCGTGCTATCCCTCAGCAGATCATCACCCATATCAGACATAAACACCCAAGCCTCAAACAGCCGTCCCAGCGCATTCATCGCCCCGTCCTCCGCCAAAGGCCCTGTTTTCGGCACCGCTCTCGTCGCCTCTGCTAGATCCTCCGCCCCAACAGGCGTGTCTGCTACCAGTAGCTCGTGAAGGGCTGGCTTGTCCTCTGTTAAGCACCCGGTTTTGTCGGTGAGAATGGTGTCGACGAAGGAGAGGTTCTCTATGGCCTTCATCTGCTGGAAGAAGATTTCGTTCGCCTCCAGCCGGTGGCTGCAGGCGCCGAGAGTCGAGTAGAGCAGCGCGGGCAGGTCGTCGGGCAGCGTGGCGAAAAAAAGCACGAGAGAGACGAGCAAGATATCCTGCCACGCCACCTGCCGGAACACTCCCAACGCAGCAGCCATCACGCTGACTCCCACCGAGGCAAAAGCAATCTGCTTAGAAGCCGAGCGTAGCAGCAGCAGCAGCGGGGAGGTCTCCCCTCCGCCTCCGATCCTCATCGCGTGCACATGCGAGACGGACGCGAGCTTCTTCCCGATTTCCGTCTGCATGCCCGTGCGGAACACCACACCCGAGCCGTACCCGCAGGTGACCATGGTGCCTGCGAGGGCGATGTTCTGGCACCCGATCGGGGTGGCTTTGGCGGCGGGGTCGAGGGTGACGGAGGCGTCTTTGGGGCAGGGCGCTGCTTCCCACTCGCCTGACACACCTGATTCATCGATCTCGAGAAGCGTGCAGTGGAGGAGTCGCAGGTCCGCTGGGACCTCCTGGGGGTGGGAGAGAGGGGAGCGTGTTGGGGAGGGGGAGGGAGAAGGGGAGGGAAGCGGGAGGGGGAAGGGGAAATGGGGGGGAGGGTGGGGGAGTTAGTCAACGCAAGGATTGGGGACAGGGAGGCCGGGAGTTGGGGAGGTGGGAGGATGGAGGGGGAAAGGGGGGGTCGAGAGTGACGGAGGCGTCTTTGGGGCAGGGCGCTGCTTCCCACTCGCCGGACACGCCCGACTCGTCGATCTCGAGGAGCGTGCAGTGGAGCAGACGCAGGTCCGCTGGGACTTCCTGCAGGGTGGGAGAAGGGGGAAGGGCGTTGGGGAAGGGGAGGGCGAAGAGGGGAAGGGAAGGGGCATGTCACCGCAGCAGCAACCCATCCCACCGATCCCACCGTCAACCCACCACGTCGGCTTGCAGCAGCACCATATCCACCTGGCCAGCAGCCACCACCACAAGCATGAGAGGCAGCCATGAGAGGCAGCGATTGCAGCAACTGCAGCAGCAAACAGCCCCAGGCAGCAGAGCCTGCATACAATAGTAGTAGCACACCGTACACCAACCCTTCCCAAACACGCTTTCTGCTGCACAAGCCTTCCTACCAGCTCATTCAGCAGTCCGCCACCCACAACCCTCACTGCAGGCACCACCCACCATGCCAGATCGCAGCAGTACCACGTCCCCAGGCACAAGGTCCGCACGGCTCACGGTCACAGCCGCACCGTCCCTCAGCACCAGGGCCTCGTGCGGCGCTGCCAGGCTGGCAGCGGCCAAACGGTGCCGGCCGCGCCATTCGGCGTAGAGGTGGAGGAGGAGGAGGGCGAGCGAGCAGAGCGCGCCGAGTGTGGCTTCCTCTGGGGGTGTGAGGCCGGCGAAGAGGACCACCAGCGCCAGGAGGAGCAGCTGTGGGGTGGCATGCGGTGGGGTGGGTGTGAGGTGTGGTGTGGTGTGGTGTGGTGCGGTGTGGTGTGGTGTGGTGTGGTGTGGTGTAGTGCGTGTGCAGGGAGGGAGAGAAAGAGTGAGAGGTGGGGGAGAAGCGGGGTGGGAAGGGATTGGGGAGAGGGGAAAGGGGGACGAAGATGAAAGGGGTTGCAATTGCAGGTCCATGAATGTTATTATTCTAGAAAACAAAAGCCATGGAAGGACTAGAGACGGGTCATGGGGGAATGTACACCCACGTTAGGACGAGAGGGAGGGCGGAAGCAGGAGACAACGAGCAAAAATGGGTTGAGCAGGGAGAGGGGGACCATGGAGGGGTGGAGAGAGGAAGGGGCAGGAGAGAAAGGAAGCAGGCGCAAGAGAGGGTGGACAACAGAGCAGGGCAGGGCAGGGCAGGGCAGGGCAGGGCAGGGCAGGGCAGGGCAGGGCAGGGCAGGGCAGGGCAGGGCAGGGCAGGGCAGGGCAGGGCAGGGCAGGGCAGGGCAGGGCAGAGCACCGCACCCGTGTGGGCGTGTAGAGATGGGCGATGAGGAAGAGCGGGAAGGAGGGCACGGGCATGGTTTCGTATTCGTTGCGGCCGTGCTTCAGCAGGCGCGCTGCTGCCACCTCCCGAGGTAACCCCAACGCCTCCACCACGTGTAATACGCTGGCGTTCCCACAGGCGGAGAGGACAGGCGGGAGGGGGGAGGAGGGGAAAAGGGGAAGTAGGAAATGGGGGAAGAGGGGAAGGGGGGAAGGGGGAAGGGGGAAGGGGGAAGGGGGAAGGGGGGAAGAGGGGAAGGGGGGAAGGGGGAAGGGGGGGGGAAGGGGGGAAGAGGGGAAGGGGGGGAAGGGGGAAGAGGGGAAGGGGGGAAGGGGGAAGGGGGAAGGGGGAAGGGGGAAGGGGGAAGGTGGGAAGAGGGGAAGGGGGGAAGAGGGGAAGGGGGAAGGCGGGGGGGCCGAGAGGTGGAAGGGGAGGAGGTGAAAAAAAGGGAGGAAGTGAAGACGAGGGGAGGAGGGAAATGAGCGTGAAGTGCGAAATGAGCGTGCAGTGCCTATGAGCGTCCTGCCGTGCACGGCAGCATGATGGCGGCATGTGCATGCGGCACGTGCATGAGTGGTATGGTTGGTAGGTAGATAGGTAGGTAGTAGGTAGGTAGGTAGGTAGGTAGGTAGGTAGGTAGGTAGGTAGGTAGGTAGGTAGGTAGGTAGGTAGGTAGGTAGGTAGGTAGGTACCGGCAGACAGCAGCAGCGGAGGTGGCCCAGGGAGGGGTGTCCATGTTAATCTGCACGTCCTTGCTCCGCCGCTTCCATTTCAACCGCGCCCTCATGCCGCCTGCCATGCGCACGCCAGGCACGCAGAGGGGGAAACGCGGAGGCGGGAATGCGGTGCGGAGGATGCGGAGGGGGGAATGCGGAGAGGGGAATACGGAGGGGGACACGCGGAGGGGGGGACGCAGTGTGAAGCAAGAGGAGAGTTGTTGATGCAACAATTGACTCGGCGCGCTTCTTGATTATCGTTGTTGCTAGCATGGGGCGTGGCAGAAGACAGGCCAGCAGCGGGACGGCAGGCAACAGCATCCACCGCGCCAGCAGTGCAAGACCAACAGCCAAGCAGCGGGATGCACGGCACGCAGCGGGATGGACGGCGGCCAGTAGTTAAATTCACACGGTCAGCAACGCATGATTTACGGAATTCACGAGCAAACCGCCTTTTTTCGAACCACCCCTAGCTTGCTGTGCACTCCGTCAACAACTTACACGGCAGCTGCGACCACGCGACGGCACGACGACAGCGCACGTCACGACGGATAACGACTTTTGAGGCGCCTCAAAAGACGACTTACTCGGCAGCTGTGACCACGCAACGGGCATGACGACAGCGCACAGCACGATGGAGAGCGCGAAGAGACCGTTGTAGAGGTACGGCAAGCCGGGGACCTCCCAGTCCGTCGCGACGCCTATGATCGCGAAAAGCAGCGCCGTCGCCGCTAGGCCGAGTCCCGCGATCGTGCCCCATACGTGCGGCGGAAGCACCTGCAGATCCGGCTGCTCCACGCGCCGCCGCTGCTCTGAGTTCCGCCGCGAGCGCGACGGCATTGCGGATTGAACAGGCGACGCGACGCGCCGCGCGCGAGGAGATAGGAATACGTGGTGTCAAAATGCGGTGTGAAAGAGGCTGTCTTTGGCTCAGACGGGTATAATTTCGGGGTGGAACGGCAGGCGGGTGGACCGAATCAAGGGAATCTCAGAATTTTTAGCACATTCGGATTCTCAGTCATGGAGGTCTGTGCTTCGAAAGTGTATCTCGGAAATCTTCACTCCCAGATCAGCACATGCCTGCACGAATCCCTATCAGGCGACACATGAGAGGAGCGGGACGATAGAAGACATGGCGTTTCTCCGATGTGCTTGGCACTGGCAGCAGCAGGGCTCCCATCGGGATTGCCAAGCATTCTCGAGAATAGTGAAGCATTCGAAGTGGGATCTTGGCTGGTTGCGTTGGGTGGAGGAGGCGTGCGTGTACAAAGCGGTATTGTGATGCCATTACAATCACAAAGTAATTACGCAAACAGTTCACATTGGAACAAAGATTAAAAAAAAATACTCTAGGTATTACTAGTACTATGAACGGAAGATATAAACAGTGGAGCTTCTTACAGAACAATTATAATAAGGTATGCAGAAACTCCCGTATGAATGGATCTCATGCTTCTTTCCCTGCTTCAATATCCTCTTGAAGCCTTGCCACCGCCGCCTCCACCTCTTCCAACGAGGGAAGCAAGCGCAGGAACGGCAACGCAAGCAGAGACGAGAGATTACAAATTAACACAAGCAAGGCAAGGTTATCGAAATTCGTGCTTGTGACTCCAAGCACCTCCGTGAGAGCAGCCCCAAGTAACCCGCTCACAACATACGCGCCATTGTTGACTGACATCAAGGTGGCAAACAAGGTGGCCTCGATTCCGGGAGGGCAGAGGCGAGCCGCAAGCACAAGGATGGGCATGAAGGAGACCTGGTGAGGGCGACCGTGGGTGTGGGGTGAAGGGGCAGACAGAGGAGGAAGGGAAAGAGACGGATGAGACAGGCCTTTTTCTGTTGGAATAACAAGGAAGCACGAACACTTCGACAGTGTGTGAGAAAAGACTACTAGATAATTTCGCGCGAAACAGTACACCAGCAGCACTACCCAATAGCCCTCTGCCACACCCCACGTGCCATAGCACTTGTCAAACAAACCTGCCACGGCACCTGCCCCTGCCTTATCAAGCCAAGTCCCTTGAGGCGTGCATGCGGTGCAAGCGTTGGCCCCCACCCGCACACACCTGGCCGAGGACAGTGAGGATGAGGCTGTCTCCCAACGCAAAGTAGTGGTCGCTAATGCCCAGCGTGCGATTCACCCCTGTCACGAGCAGCAACTGGCTCTCTCAGACACACACGCTCGTACGCACAAACCCATGCACACACACCCACACACGCACACGCACAAACACGCACGCACACACATGGACACACACACACACACACACACACGCACGCACACACACACACACACACACACACAAATGGTGAACATTTGCAGTGATGAGAGGTGGAAATGATTAAGGAATGAAAATCGAGAGGCATGGAAGAATGAGAGGCATTCCAAGAGGACCAGCAGAAACACTGCATGTCCTTCCAATCCAACTCACCCTCTTCCCCAGCCCTTCACCACCCATTTCACCCTTCCCCCATCCCAGCCCCACTTCCCTACTGCACTCACTCCTGCATGCGCCTCTATTCCCTCCCAATCCCCACTCCTCTCTCACACTTTCGCACTCTTCCCCTCCCACCTCCCCGTTCCTCCCATCACTATGCACACCTGCGTGCAGCCGAGGGCAGTGCCGAGCAAGTTGATCCAGAGGAAGATGCGCTGCAGTGGCACTTGCTCGAAACAATGATTGTACACGCCCACACCCACCAGCGACGCCACTGACGTCACCAGCCGCACAAAGAATGACCTCCTACCTCCTCACCCCCCTCAAACCCCTCTGCTACCCACCTCACCTGTCCCCCACTCCCCTCCCACCTCCCCACCAGCCTTCCCACACCCACACTACCCTCCCGCTTCCCCCCTCCCAATCCCCACTCCCCTCCTCCCATAACCCCCAGACCCAGCACTAGCACGCGCACCTGCGTGCAGCCGAGGGCAGTGCCGAGCAGGTTGATCCAGAGGAAGATGCGGTGCAGCGGCACGTGCTTGAGCCAAAAGTTGTACACGCCCACGCCCACCAGCGATGCCACTGATGTCACCAGCCGCACCCGCCCTAGGAACTCTGGTCCGAAGCCCAGCTTGTTCGTGCTGGTGATGATGATGCGTGTGGGCCAGGTTGGGGGAGGAGAGAGAGAGAAGGATGATTTCTGAGACACCTCAAGAAGCGACGCCACTGATGTCACCAGCCGCACCCGCCCTAGGAACTCTGGTCCGAAGCCCAGCTTGTTCGTGCTGGTGATGATGATGCGTGTGGGCCAGGTTGGGGGAGGAGAGAGAGAGAAGGATGATTTCTGAGACACCTCAAGAAGCGACGCCACTGATGTCACCAGCCGCACCCGCCCTAGGAACTCTGGCCTGAAGCCCAGCTTGTTGGTGCTGGTGATGATGATGATGAGGCATGTGGGGCAGGTTAGGGGGGGGGGGAAGAGAGAGAAAGATGACTTGTGCTGAAGCGCCTAAAGAAGCGACGCCACTGATGTTACTAATTGCACCCGCCCTAGCAACTCTGGTCCGAAGCCCAGCTTGTTCGTGCTGGTAGCGCTGACATGGCAGACACAGGTAGCGGTGACATGGCAGACACAGGTAGCGCTGACATGGCAGACACAGGTAGCGCTGACATGGCAGACACAGGTAGCGCTGACATGGCAGACGTAGGTGCAACTCACGTGAAGAAGAACATGGCGGTATCTGAGGAAGGTGTTATCTGCCAGAGGAAGATGAAGAGCGTGGGCATGAGGATGCTGGGCTGGCGGATAGTGGCCCATAGGTACAACGCCTGTGCCCGCACATCCATCGCTGGGATGGGGGATGATGCGTGGGAGTGTGCGTGGGAGGGTGCGAGGGAGGAGGAGGTGCAGGAGGAGGAAGAGGAGGAGGAAGGGGTGGGAGTGTTGGAAACGAGGGGGGACTCTGTAGTGGTATGGTGCTCCGAGTGGTGCTGCTGCTGCTGGGGGATTGGGTTGGTGGGTGGAGTGGGGGAAGTGGTAAAGTTGGGAGGGTAGGGGGAGGAGTAAACAGATGACTCGCTGATAGCTGGTGTGGAGTTTGCTGGTACTTGCTGCTGTGGGTGGTGCTGATACAGCTGCTGTTGGTGCTGGTGCTGCTGATGGTGATGGTACGACTGTTGAGAATAGCTGGTCGCGGTAGGATCAGAAGGTGCTGAAGCATACGGAGGCAGCAAGGGCATCTGTTGCTCGTTCTCACCCATCCCCACCACACTCTCATCCGTCGAACCCTTACCCCCCGTCCACCTCCTTCTTTAACCCTTTCCCCAACGTCCCTTCCTCCAGCCAACCCTCCCATCCCCAATCTCTCCCCACTCGTTCACTCTGAGTGATGTGATCCAGCTCAATTAGTACATCACCATGGGAGGAGGAGGGAGGGGGGTGAGGAGAGGCAGAAGAGGAGAGAGCAGGGGAGGCAGATAGACCAGGGGCGGAGAGGGGAATGAGAGGAGCAGTCTCAGAAACAGAGTCCGTAGGGAAGAGGTGGGAGGAGCGTTTGGAGGAAGAGGAGGAGGAGAGAGGGGAGGAGGAACGAGGAGGGGATGAGAGGGAGGTAAGCTGGTGGCTCTGGTGCTGGTGGTGTTGATGGTGCTGGTGGTGCTGGTGGTGCTGGTGGTGGTGGTGGTGGTGGTGGTGTTGTTGGTGGTTGTCTTCAACTGTGAATATCCCCGCTATAGATGTGATGAGCGGAAGAACAGCGGTCACGGCAAACACAAACCTGCCACCAAGGGAAGAGGCATGTGGAAAAGCAGGCTGACGGGATGGATGGGGGATGCGGGATACAGGATCGATGAGCGGTTTAGGACATTCAATCCCGTGCATCTAAGAAAGAACCACTGCGCGTATCGTATCGCTCTTGAAACTTCTAAACAGATTCGATACATGCATGATATGATTGATACATCGCTGCATGCACTGCATCCCCCTCACCTCCCTCCCACCGTTCATCCACCCCTCCCTCACTGCATCCCCTCCATCCCCCCACTCACTCACTCACCTCGTGCCGTACAACTCCACCAGGCTACCGCTCCAGTACGCGCTCACAATCCCTCCAACCGCACTGGACCCCCAGCAGAGCGACTGCAGCGAGCCAGCCATGCTCTGGTCCTCGCCCCTGGCTCGCTCCACCACCAGCGAATCCACCACCACATCAGACACAGCGACTGAGAGCGAAGAGAGCAGGATCATGGCGACTGTGGAGTACTTGTCGTGGACTATTGTGGCGAGGAGGGCCCATGCCGAGGCACCCACGAAGCCACAGAGAATGAGGTAGGAGCGGCGGCGCGAGCCAAACAGAGGGAAGCCGTCACTGGTGGGGTGAGTGGGGAGGAGAAGGGAGAGGAGGGAAGGGATGTCTGGCAAAGGGAGTGACTGGGGAGGAGAGATGCCTGGGAGAGGAGGATGGAAGGGAATTCGAACGTTGAGATGGATGGGACGGGATGGGATGGGATGGGATGGGATGGGATGGGATGGGATGGGATGGGATGGGATGGGATGGGATGGGATGGGGATGGGTATGGTGCAGGTGGCATGGTGCATGGTCAGTGGCACGACCCACCTGAGGAAGCCATAGAGAGGCTTGATGAGATGGGGGAGAGGGGTGATATGGGGAAGAGGGGGGGGACGGGGGAGACGGGGAAGAGGGGCCAACAGAGGTGGCATGGTGCATGGTCAGTGACACGACCCACCTTAGGAAGCCATAGAGGGGCTTGATGAGCCATGGCAGTGTGGAGAACCCCGACAGAAGCGCCGTCTGCAGGGAAAGAGAGACGGGGGACGAGAGGTGTGATATGGGGAAGAGGGGGGATATGAGGGAGACGGGGAGAAGGGGGATATGGGGGAGATGGGGAGAAGGGGGATGGGATATGGGTGCGACTTGGGAGAAGGGGGATATGGGGGCGACAGGGTGTTTGGGGAGGAGAGGGTGGGTGGACAGGGAGAGGGCGAGGGGGGAGACAGCAGAGTTAGGGGAATAGGAAGAAGATGATGAAAAGATTGGGAGCAGCAGCAGCGGCGGCAGCGGCGGCGGCAGCGGCAGTGGCGGCGGCAGCGGCAGCAACAGCAGCAGCAGCAGCAACAACAGCGCACGCACACCTCAGCGGGGTCGAGTCCAAACTCGTCCTTGAGAAAGAAGCTGACAGCAAGGCGTGCAAGCCCCAGCACGCCCTGCACAAAGTACACCAATGCTATCGCCACTATGTCCGCTGTCAACGGCAGACCCAGCCCCGGCACCATCCACTGCCGCTTCCTCCTCCCACTACCAATCCCCCTTCCCTCTCCCTCCACCCCTCCTCCTCCTGCTTCTGCGCTGTCACCACCGACGATGATGAAGCTGCTGCTGTTGCCGCTGCTCCTGCTGCCTCGGCTCCTGGTGCTGCCGCTGCTGTTGCTGCTGCTGCTGCATGCACTGCTGGTATTGGTCCCATGGTTCGCGGTCCCACTGTGAATGCTCCCATCCAGGCCACTCTCTGCCGGCCATCCCCACCACCCCCACCTCCCCATCCCCCTCCTCCATGCTTGCCTCAGCCGCCGCAGCAACCTCCCTCCTGCTGCTCCGTTCCCTCTACCACGCACCACCCGTCCCCTGGCCCTTCCCCCCGCCAGCCCCCCTGCGCCTATCCCCCTCATATACCCGCCCGGATGCCAGTCCAAGCCAAAAGTATCCCCCAGATCCGCAACACTCTGCTGGTACCATCGCACAGCATCAGCAGGGAGAGACCAGGGGAGAGCCCAGAGAGAGAGCCATGCACCTTGGCGCGCCCATGCCCATGGCCATGCGCGTGAGTGTGACTGTGGATGGGTGTCGTTGGCATGTGTATGGGTGATGATGCTGTGGGGATGTGTGTCGTGGCCATGGGTGGTGCTGCTGCTGCTGTTGCTGCTGCTACTGGTAGGTTCGTGGACAGAAATGCAAGGCTCGATTTCCCATGACGACGAATGGAAGGGGGGAGTGCCGCCAGCAACAACAGCAGCAGCAGCAGCAACAGCAGTGGCCACCACCACCACTCCCTGTCTCTGGTATCCATGTTTTAGGTGAGCTGTTGCGGGCGGCTGGTACAGGGCACACACCAGCAGATGCCAGCGACGATTGCTGGAATGATGACGTGGCGTTGACGTGTGCAGGAGGGTCTACTTGGACAAAAACGGACGATGACGTGGGCTGGTTCAGAGGCTGGAGGGAGGAGGGGAGAGATGCGAGCGCAGTGGCTGAAAGAGTGTGCGTGTGAGTGTGTGTGTTGGTGTGAGTGAGAGGGCGAGAGGTGGCGCAGTCCGGAAGGAAGGGAAAAGAGGGTGTTGGGAAGGAGATGAGGAATAGTTAGAAGAATGGCAAGTCCAGTCCAGAGCAGTGTAAATTTCCAGGTTACAAGCTTGATTCGCAATTGAAGAACGAAAATGGTTATACTTCAGATCTACAGCAGTAAGTTTCGTGTCAGTAGGTAAAACAGGCACTTCGAGTAAACTCTTGTCATCGAGACAGACAGCTTTGCGAACCCTAAAACACGAATTCGCGACAATGAAAGCAAACAAAGCCGTCTCTTCCTTGTCTACACCTCCGCCCTTGAATCCCCGCCCTCCGCGTACGCGTACCTTCCTCCCCCGCTTCGCGCTCCTCCACAGACATCACAGCGTGGAGAGCGGTCGCAGCCTCCCACCCACAATGCAAGACGGCATCTCCGCGCTCCCGGTGAATTAACGCCTCTCGCTGCGTCTGACGACCTCCGCGCTTTCCCAACCCAGCGGCCTTGCCTATTCTCGCGTTGCCGTCGCTCCCGCCGCTTTTCGCGCTGCCGGCGCTGCTGCTGCTGCTGTGGGTAACCGTTCCCAGGCTGCCGCTCATTGTGGCTGGCGAGCCAGCGAGAAGGAAAGCAAAGAAAGCCCGCGATTGCGGGCCGAGCACGGGCAAGTGCGGTGAAGCGAAAGCTTGGAAGTCGCGCGCATCAAGATCCTTGGTCTCTCCGCACGGCGTATGTTCGGTGGTGTCTTCTGCGGCTCGAATTGCAAGGTGTTTGCTGCACCAGTTGCAACTGCCTATCTGTATTTCACAGGTTGGTGACGATGTTGGGTTGGGTGCTGCTGGTTGAGGGTGAGAACGCACGCAAGTTATTGACTACCTCGTTAACTCCCTAAAAAATACAGCTCGTTTAAGTTTCGTATGATCGGAACCACGATTATTTCACCAAAACCTTGTTCCAGATAATAGAGCCACGTGTACCCCTAAAGCTTGCCTCCGTGGAGTAGAATTGTGCCTTCGTGGCTCCCAGCAAAATCTGGCGTCACACTCTCCCAGGCGGAATGCAGTGACAGTAATCTTGGAACAGAATCAGCCCAGCGAATAGGATCATCAGGCCTTTCCAGTCTTGACGTATGCGCAAGCCGACCCGATGCCAACTCCCCCGCCATTACAATCTCAAGACAAGAGGGGAGGGAAATCCTCATCTCTTCACGCAAGCTCCTGCCGCCTTCCCGCTTCCCCCCAATCTCCTTTTGTCTCCCTCTCGCGCGCCCCCGCATTCCCCAACTTCCTTTCCTATCCCACCCGTAAGCCTTCCGCCCAACTCCCCCACTGCGCCCATCCCCCTTCTGCTCCCTCTCTTGAAATTCCGCGCACACCTTGCCATTTCAATTTTCCGTCATCCAAGCCTCTCCCCTAAACGGCTAGGCGAATTCTCCAATTCGCCATTTTTCACCGCGTCTCCTATCTCTGCTTGTCACTTCTCTCGACCTCCATTCTCCGTTATTCGAATCGCCGTAGCATTCGAATATGGCCTCTGCTGTCTCGACCTCGCAGGTCCTGTCCGTCGGCAAGCTCGCTGCGGCTGACGTGAGCAGCGCGAACCAGGCGTTCCAGGGAGTGAAGCTCTGCCCTGCGCAGAAGATGAGCAGCAAGAAGGACGCCGGCCGCCTTGAGTGCAAGGCCGTCGCGACCGAGAAGCCCTTCGTGACCACCAAGTCCGAGGAGATCTTCAAGGCCGCCAAGGTCCGTTCCTATCGAGTCTCTGCAGCGGGACATCCGTTGCTGCTGGAAATTCCCCATCCAACTCGTCTCCCTGAACAAATTACACGAGATTTCGTCAAATTGCTAATTTATTCCGTAAATTTCTCCAATTTCCGCTGTATGTCTTAGCTTATCACCTGGATCGGTCATGGCGATGCGTGTGCAGGAGCTGTTGCCCGGCGGTGTGAACTCGCCCGTGCGCGCGTTCAAGTCCGTGGGAGGCCAGCCCATTGTGTTCGACCGCGTGAAGGGCTCGCACGCGTGGGACGTGGACGGCAACGAGTACGTTGACTATGTCGGCACGTGGGGCCCTGCCATCATCGGCCACGCCGACGACGAGGTAAGACTCGTCTGGGTATGCGCGGTCGCCAAATTGTTTCGTCATCCGGCTTTCTGACGCGTTGATCTCACTCCTCCGCCCCCAGCCTAGTTATTTGGGAGAAGTAAATACTCGCGTTTGAGTGTTGATTTCCAGAGCATGCCGCGTAACGATGCACAATTCGCAATCTAATTAGGTCAGCGCTGATTCGTGCATTGCCGCTCTCTCATCATCGCGCTTCTACCCTCCTTCCTTTCCCCGCGGAATCAGGTGAACGCTGCCCTCGTGGAGGCTCTGAAAAAGGGCACGAGCTTCGGCGCGCCGTGCGTGCTGGAGAACGAGCTGGCGGAGATGGTGATTGCCGCCGTGCCCAGCATCGAGATGGTGCGCTTTGTCAACTCGGGTACCGAGGCCTGCATGGGCATGCTCCGCCTCGCGCGCGCCTTCACCGGCCGTGACAAGATCATCAAGTTTGACGGCTGCTACCACGGCCACGCCGACAGCTTCCTCGTCCAGGTACCGTACCGTTCCGTGTGGAATCGTACCGAGCCTTAGTGTGTGATGGTGGCTGCGCCTTCTTTTCTGTCGTGACGTGTCCCTTTGAAAGTGTCGTTTGTGTCTCGTTAACCGCATGGACTAACCAGATATGGACGTCCTGTACTTCTTAGCATCCCTAATTACTTCTGAAGTATAGACTCTGCACCTTAACTACTTTCGATGCCTACAATGCATGTTAATTCTTCACGACTTTCCGTCACCTCCCATTTATCACATTTGTGGATGCAAATCGCATTGAGGTGAAACAAAATGTAACTTCCTGATTCTGAATTTTCTGCTTTCCTTTTCTCTCGCGTCCCGCCAGGCCGGCAGCGGTGTCGCCACCCTGGGCCTGCCCGACTCTCCCGGTGTTCCCAAGACCGCCACCGCCCCCACGCTCGTTGCTCCCTACAACGATCTGGAGGCCGTGAAGAAGGTACGCCCAATGCCGCTCGTGTGTGGTGCTCGTGCTGCGACTGGGTAACTAAGTATAAATATCTTCGGTTAATGACGCCTTTTTTTTCTCCCAATTCCCTTGCGGAGTTCCTGCCGCCCATAAAGCCTGAACCTCTGCCGCCCGAATTGCCGTGTCCCGAGTTCGGTCTCACCTCTTGTTCGTTCTGACGTTCCCCCTCGCTTCTCACGCGGCGCGTGCAGCTGTTCGCGGACAACAAGGGCGAGATCGCGGCCGTCGTGCTGGAGCCCGTCGTCGGCAACTCCGGTTTCATTGTCCCCAAGAAGTAAGTTGCCGTTTCCGAGCGTGCGTTGTCAGGCATGGTACATGTGTCAGCATGCGCTGTTCTCGTCTGGCGCAACTGCTTTTCTCACCTTGCGCTTGCGTTTGGGCAATCAACCTAGGTCTACTTACACCCTTTTAAATCAAAGCGCGCCATCTTTGCTGTCAACAGTCTTACCTTCCCTCTTGGTACTTGTTTCCTTACTGCACTCCCGTGTACCAAATAACTAATTTTGCTCTCTCGTACTGTACTCTCTGTGCGTGGTGCCTAATCTGGTGGCGGCAGGGAGTTCCTGGAGGGTCTTCGCCAGATCACCAAGGACGAGGGCGCGCTGCTGGTGTTCGACGAGGTTATGACGGGCTTCCGCATCGCGTACGGTGGCGCGCAGGAGTACTGGGGCATCACCCCCGACATCACCACCCTCGGCAAGATCATTGGGTGCGCGATTGCTTGCCTGCCTGCTTGTGCCTTTGCTTCTCCTCCCTTCACAGTAAACCCTTTCTCTTGCTCTTCCATCTCCACTCCCTCTAGCGTGTCTTCGGTCCTTGTAGTGCCGCTTTGCTTCTGTTTTCCGTCTAGACCCTTGTGCGTGTGACTATTCCTTCCTGGAAGGCTTGACTATACTTGTTCCTAAACATTGCAAACGTCCAAAAAGATATTGCCATATCTACCAGCCCTGTTCTCCTTGGTCCCTGCATTGGAGTACCAGGCTCCGATTTAACCACAGCCCCCCTTGCCACAACGCCACACCAACCTCAACGTTCTCCCTCCATTCCCCTCTCCTTCTCCTCCCCCATCCTCCACTCCCCACACCCCTACCCATCTTATCTCTCGTTCCCCTCCCTCCCACCTTCCTCCAGTGGCGGTCTCCCCGTGGGAGCATACGGAGGGCGCCGTGACATCATGGAGATGGTGGCGCCTGCGGGCCCCATGTACCAGGCGGGCACGCTCAGCGGCAACCCCCTCGCCATGACGGCGGGCATCAAGACCCTGGAGCGCCTGCGGCAGCCCGGCACGTACGAGTACCTGGACAGGGTCACTGGCCGCCTCATTAACGGACTGCTCGATGCTGCCAGGTGTGTGGCGGGGTTGGGTAGCTTGTGGGGGTGTGGGTTAAAGTGGAGGTTGTATTCAGGGAGGCGGGGGTGGTGATGGTATTGTTTTGTGGAAGTTGGACGAAGCTGAGTTGGTGATGATGGTTGGTGACTGAAGGAGGCTGTGGTT